TGGCATGCCAAAAAAACAGATGCCACACCATGCCATGCAACACCCTCAGATGCAACATACCACTCCTTGGTACCACACCCTCACACAGTATTATAACATACCACACCATATTACACCAAGGGAAAACATACTGGTACCACAATAAATAATTTAGCTGAACTTTAGCTGCACTCAACAGCACGCACACCAACACAGCCATCGCTGTACCCACACTTCACTTCCCCCTCTCTACCCACCATCCCTCCAACCCTCACCTTTGTGTACGCACAGTATGTTTGTACGCCACCAAGAATGTGAATATGATTGTCCCCGTCCCAACAGGGAAAAAAAAACGACCACCGTTGGCAACATTGGTAAGCAAGCATCACATTCAAGACAACCAAGTTTACAAAATATTGTCAGCACATACGGTACATTCTTCTTCTACCTCTAGAAGCATCCTTCCTTTGGCCCTGTTTTCTTCGTCTAGGGCCAACACATTTGCATCCAATGCGCCTAAACAGCTACCGGTACAATTAGCTCTCTCTCCCTATACAAGACTTTGGCTGCCTGGCAGGTCAGAAGGCATCCTTGCGAGCTCGAATCTCTCCCATCACATCTTCAGGCGCCTCTCTGCCTGTCACCGTCTGGGTCAAGCAAGCACAGTGCAAGTAGCAAGGCAGGGAACCCAGACAGATACGGTAAGCAACACAGGTTCATGACAATATCAAACCATGACTGTTTAGGATAACTATTTAGGAATATCCCGGAGGCAAGGGAAAGAGCGTATCAGCAGGGTGCTGCAACGAACAGCACAGCACCCCCACTAGCAATCAGGAGCAGGAGCGTAGCGCGTACCTGCATGCTGGGCAGCTCGACGCGCATGAAGGGGTTGTACTTGAGCTCCTGAGCCAGCGTGGAGGGCACGGTGGGGAGCCGGTTGCGGCGCCGCTCCATGGCCCACTTTATCTTCTCCTGCGCTGCTGGGTTGCTGGGCTCCAGAAAGAGAGCGAATTGGAGGTTCTTCACTGTGTACTGGCAGGTGGAGGGGGGGTGGGGAAAGGGGAGGGACATAGAGAGCAGAGTTCTGAGACGTCTAAAAAGCCTAGAGAAAAAGAGCAAACTTGAGGTTCTTCACCGTGAGAGGTCTGCGAAGTCTCCAGATACAAAGGAGAGCTGAGGCTTTTACCATGTACTGGTTGGTGTAGGGGGTGCTGATGAGGACAGAGGGACAAGACTGAGGTCAGAGGGGCACAGGAAGAGGCAGCGACAGGAAAGAGCGCAGAGGCAGGAGGGGGACAAGTTCCCACATTTTTGGGGTGCTTTTGCAGCATTCTCAGCTTTCCTGTTAGCAAAAAGAAACCTGCATGTGTGCACCGCATGCGCCCACCTCATGCGCCCACCTCATGAGCCCACTGGTCAGCCCAACGCATCAGGCATGCTGACCTCATGGCCGCAGTAGACTTTGGTGGCGGGAGGCAGCATCTTGATGACCCGGCACAGCGAGTGGTACATGTCCGCTGGCGTGCCCTCAAAGAACCGCCCACACCCGCCCACGAACTGCAGTGGGCGCAGGGGACATGCGCGGAGAAAGACATGGGGAGGGTGGGGCCGGGGAGGAGAGGAGGTTAATGGTGATGGCAGTGAATGGGGATGGGGTTGGGTGCAGGTGTATGCGAGAGTGGGGTGGGTGACGGCGCTGACATGCCCGTCACCATGCACATGCTCATGGACGGATGTATGGATGACGCAGGGGAGAGAGGTGGTGCGGGAGCACGGTGAAATGAAGGGTGTGTCTAAGAAAGACTGTGCGGAGGGATGGTTGGGCGGGTGCGTGTGGGTGCGTGTGGGTGCATGTGGGTGCATGTGTAAGGACAGGGGAGTGAGAGTGAGTGCGTGTGGGTGTGCGTACAAGGCAGTCTCCAGTGAAGAGAATGGGGTCGTGTTGGCCGTTATTGGCTGTCACAAAGTAGCATATGTGCCCATTGGTGTGCCTGCCGTTACCAGGGGTAGGGTTGGGTGGAGAAAACGGAAAGGAGGGTGGGTTTGTGTGTGTGTGTGTGTGTGTGTGTGTGTGTGTGTGTGTGTGTGTGTGTGTGTGTGTGTTGCAACGCAGACGGGAAGGTGATGCGGTGGACAGGGTAGGGCGGGACAGTGCATGACAGAACTCAACGAGACAAACCGAGAAAACGACAGAAAAAAAAAAAAGCAGATGCGGAACAGCAGGAGGAGACGAGAAACGGAGGGACGGAAAACGAGAAAACAAAGGAACAAGAGGAGGGAAGGCATGGGGGCACGGTCAATCACGGTCACAGACCCTGGGGTGTGCAGGGCCTTGATGGTCATGGTTTCATCGCCCAGTTGGAAGCAGTCGCCGTGTTTGAGCTCATTGGTGCACGCAGGGATGGCGTCCATGCTTCCCCCGTACACCAGCACACTTGGCAGCATCCGCTTCACCTCCTCGTTGCCCCCTGCATGGTCCCTGGTGATGGCACGCGCAGACGGGGGTATGGGAGAGCGGACAGGGGGAGATGCAGAAAGGGAACGGGAAGGAGGGGAAAGAGGGAAAATTGGAGTGGGGGGAAAGAGGGGGAAGGAGGATGGGTAGGAGGAGAAAGGATGGGGGAAGAGTGGAGGAGAAGGGGGGAAATGGATGGGGGAGAGAGGAGTGAATGGGAAAAGGAAGGCAACAAAGGAAAGTTGCGAAGAGACAGGGGGAAGGTGAAGCATGGGTCAGCAGGTCCGATAACAGTCACGGCAATGAGAGCAACAGCATGGGGAGAGTGGAGTATGGCAGACCTTTGGTGGGTGGGGAGGGGAGCATGGGCATGGAATGCAGGGAGGAGGAGGGACTCTCTGTGACTTCCAGCGCCCATGTCTAACCCCCAGTCACCCCCCCACCCATTAACTGCCTCTCCCCCCTCTCCCCTCTCCCCCATTCCCCCCTCCCCACCCCTCCCTGCACCTATGGTGGTGAGTGGTGAGCAAGGCGACGACGTTGAGCCCCTTGTGGCGCGCGGCGTTCATCACCCCAGTCACCAACCCGTCAGTCACTCCCCGGTTACCACCCTTCTCATCCCCCCCTCCCCCCCCCCCCCCCCCCCCCCCCCAAAATCCCCCCATCCCCCCGAACCCCCACCTCCCCCCACACGCACCTGTGGTGGTGCGTGGTGAGCACGGCGACGACGTTGAGCCCCTTGTGCTTTGCGGCGTTCATCACCAGCACAGGGTCCGCCGGGTCCACCGCCGCCGCCTCCTTGCTCTGCTCGTCGTACAGCCTGCGCGCGCGCGGGCAGGGGAGGGGGACGGTTGCGCGGACGAGAGGGTGGGTGGGAGGGGGAATGGGGGAAAGGGAGGGGTGGAAGAGGGGGGTGAGTGGGTGGGTGAAAAGGTATAATGACGCGGAAAACGGAAGGGGTATTCCTCGGTGCCCGCTGGAAAACTGAGCCCCGAAAATGGACGAACGCGAAACGGCAAGGTCACGGGGCAACGAGCAGCGGCGAACAGAGGACAGAGGAGAGTCCTATCTCAAAACATAACGTGTCGCGACTTTGAGATGTACAGTGCATAGTGTGTCGTACTCTCTGCCCTGTCGGACGCGCATAGTGTGCGGGAGGATATGGGTGGATGGGCGGCTTACAGATACGCGTAGTTGTCCTGCAGAACTGGCACGATCATGACCTTCATGGCGACTCGCTGCACACGGAAACGGCACCGACGCTACGACGTGGATTAGAAGAGAGTACGCGCGGACCGCGGGGAAAGAGACGATAAGGTTCGGGGCTTGCTAAGGCAACCCCCACCCTACGAGGGAATAACGCTTTGAGGTGGTTGGAAAAATGGCGGGGATACGGAAACAGGAAAGAGAGCGCTACGAGCGCGCACCTGTGATGACGGAACAGAGGTAGAGCTAGGCTGGAAGTAAGAGCGGAGAACAAGGGTTCGTACGAGTGTATGCGGCAGCAGGAAGGATCGCGAGAAGGAATGATAGACGATAGTCCTTTACTAGCGCGGAATCTAGATTCCACGTCGATCACTCCTCATCAGCTGCTTCAATTCACACAGGTTCATTCAAGAACTGCACAGAAAGAACTTCAGTACAACACGGCAGCACAAGTTACCAAAACACTGTTCACACGTTCCTCACACCAATTTACAATACTAATGATACACGTCAGATTTACAAGAGTGCAATGGAGTGAGGCATGAACGGACATAAAGAATTCTAACCGAGAAAGAATTCTAACGCGAAAATGTGTATTAAAGAGTGAGTAGAACATTCAAGGTTTGCATTAACTGTCTAAATCTGGATGTAAGAAGTAAGGAATTTATATTTTCTTACACATTGTTTTTGTCCACTTTTTCCTGCTATAAGAAGCTAGGTTAGGCCTTGGTCCGACCAGGGGAAAACTGTCGAACCAGCGAAACTGACGTTCTGTACAGTTACCCAGGCTGGGCGATTGCGACGTCTCCCGCCTGATATTCGCGAACCCGCTATTTTCGCTAGCATGGACGTTCACCTCCAAATCACAAGCGTCCGCAAAATTCTGGGAAGACTCTGGTTTGGACAACAGACAGCCAGACCACGCAGCGCAGTATTTAGGACCATCAATCTAGTCATAAACGCTTGTGGTCTCTTGGGAGTCATGGCTGCTTCGTCAGTCTCTTGTATGACTGCCGATTGGCGTTTTCATTCTTTGAGATTTTATCGACTAGTTCTAGTTGCATATCCAGCGTCAGTCTTGCGATTGCCCTAAAACGAAGAACTCCATTAGGTGGCGTGTTCTCGTGTGCATTTATGCCTTTTCGATCGCGCCATTCGCGGAACAACATTTCCCTTTCGTTCGTCGCGTATTTTCCCGATTCGTTGCTTCCTTCTACGAGAGGACAGACCGAGCGCGCGGTTAAGCAGTTCTGCGCGGTACCGCCTGCTGCCTGACGCTTGCCGCTTGCTGCCTGCTCCTTGCTGCTCTGCTCACCACCAGTGCCAGCCAAACGAAACGAAACACGGACGCGAAGCGATGGCCATGGAGGCCGAAGGCTTATCGCCAGCGCTCTTAAACTTCCGCGTGTCGCTCGTGGAAACCCTCGAGGCGTATCTCGGCGTAAGTCTGAGCGAATGATGTATGAGCGGTCACGATGGTATGAGCGGTCACGATGGTATGAGCGGTCACGATGGTATGAGCGGCCACTATGGTATGAGCGGCCACTATGGTATGAGCGGCTACTATGGTATGAGCGGCCACTATGGTATGAGCGGCCACTATGGTATGAGCGGCCACTATGGTATGAGCGGTCACGATGGTATGAGCGGTCACGATGGTATGAGCGGTCACGATGGTATGAGCGGTCACTATGGTATGAGCGGTCACTATGGTATGAGCGGTCACGATGGTATGAGCGGTCACTGATTGTGTGAACACCTATGTGGAGTAGGCTCACTGATTACTCGGTGTGACCTTCCCGTAGCACCAACTTTTAAGTTCCAAGTTCATAACTTCCAAGTGATGATTCTATCCTTCAATTGCCCTCACTCAGCAAGTTGATTTCTCGTTTTCTTCTCCACATCTACGTGTCTTCCCCGTTTTCCTGATTACAGAAGGAGACGATGCAGCCGTTTGTGAGTGCGGACGACCATGCCAGGTGAACCCCACGCGCCTGCGTTACCATCCAGTCTTGCATTCTGCATTCAGTCCCCCTTCCTGTCATCCATGCCATCGCAACGCTCCTTACCTGGCCTCAATTTTCTGTAGTAACCTTGCGCAAATGGGGCGATGTTCTGTACTGTACTGTTCTCTGCTGTTCCTCTTCCCCTCCTCGTGACCCCCCTTCCACAGACCGGCCAAGATTCGCCGAACCAAGGGTCTAGCACCGGTGGGAGGCTTCGGCTCCGCCGCGCGTGGCACTCTTCCTCAGAGCGACCAATTCCCGTTGGAGTTCAACCACCTGCTCTCCACTGCCACCTTCGCCGTAAGGCCCAAGTTGAGCTACAACATGTAAAACAGGCTTGTATGCTATATCTCTCCACTCCATCTCGCCATGTGCTTTCTGTCTCCCACACGTAGATCTGTCCTGATGGGTGTGCTGTGCTCCTCTCGCCCAGGCAGGTTATCTGGTCTTTCCTGATTTTTTTTTGGTGATTTATTTATTTATCTAATTTGAAGTATGATGACGTACATTTGTGTGTGTGTGTGTGTGTGCGCGCGCGCGCGCGCGTGCGTGCGTGCGTGCGTGCGTGCGCGCGCGTGTGTGTGTGTGTGTGTGTGTGTGTGTGTGTGGCGGGGGGGGGGGGGGGCTGAGTGCATCAGGAGCCTGAGGAAGTGGCAGCAGTGGTGGAGCCGCTATTTGCCACGTTGCTCCTCAACTGCTGCACACAACCATTCCAGGTGCACATGCCTCTTCTCCCATCCTTCACCCCTTCGTGTCCTTTTTTTTTTTTTGCCTTTTCCGAACTGTTCCTCACAAAGATGTGACCCCTTTCATAGCCCGACGGCATCTCCCTGTTCCACGCACCCACCACTCTCAGCTGCTCTCGCCTAACTCCACTCCTTTCATTGTCCCATCCCCTGCGTCCCTCCCTCCCCTCGCAGCTCGACTTCCTCCTCTCCGTCCTCCCAAGCCTCACAGCATCACATGCTCTCTCCTGGTCCTCCTTCCTCCCAGCACTCTTCTCGTTCCTCCTCGCCCGCTACCCCTCCATCTCCCTGCGACAGCTCCCAGGGACCCATCACGCGCTCATCACCCCCGCCTCTTCCTCCGCCGCCTCGCCCCTGTCCTCACCACCAGCAGCTGGCACGGCTGGCACTGCTGCTGCTGCTGCTGCTGGTGCAGGTTCTGCCATTACCCCAGGCGCGCTTCCGCCTCTCGCCCGCAGTGCCAGCACTGCTGGGGGGGTGCCAGAAACGGGAGGCAGTATGATGCTGCTGGGTTCGCCAAAGCCCGGCAGTGTGAATCCAGCCAGGCCAGGAGGAGGAGGACTGGGGGCTGTGGGCGGACGGGAGGGTGACACTCCCAAAGTTCGGGACTCTGTAGGAGGAAAGCCAAACTCGTTAACTGCCGCAGGCCCGTTGTTCTCCCCTTGGGGTAGGCACTGGGGGAAGGGCCCCTGGGGTGCTGCTGCGCCTGGTGCTGGCAGAAACGGACGGGTGGGTGGAGGAGTGCGGGAGGCGGAGTCTGGAGTTCCGTGGTGGGTGAAGGGGATGGTGTGCAAGGTGGTTGAAGCAGCAGCGGCGTCTCAGGGCCTCAAGGCCCTCCCTGCCCTTGTGTCTCTGCAGCTGCTGCTCTCGTGGCTCTTAGAGGATCTGGCTGAACGGGCCGCTGCGGCTGCTGCTAGCGACGCTGCTTCTGCCGCTGCAGCGTCTGCCGCGGCTGCTGCTCATGCTGCCAGGCTGCCGGCTTCTGCAGCCGTGCTGGCCACAGGAGGGAGTGCTGGCGCTGCAGGAGCCATGGTAGCTGCAGCAACGCCAGGTGGAGGGAGAGGAGCAGCAGGTGCAAATACCGGTGGGGCTGCACCTGTGGCTGGTTGGGGTGGTGCTGGTTCCTCCCTGGTGGCTTGTCAGGCTGCAAGGCAGAGGAGGAAGGGGATGGCCGGCTCTGGAGGGGCCTGGCGGGCGAGAACAGCTGCGGTAGGAGCGGGGAAAGCAGCGCAAGAATGGCTGGTGGTGTGTGTACGGGCGTTGGAGCTGCTAGTAGATGACTCCACGTGCCACGTGCCTGTGTGCACGCTGATACAAGGCCTGGACCCCTACCAGCTGCATCTGCTTGTGTCATGTTCTCCGCCGCACCCTGCTCGCATGCTGGCATGTGTGGTAGCGGCGCGCAGGGAAGCAGTGGTGGGGTATCTGCGCTTCCTCGATGACCCGCTGCTCTGCCCTTCCTTTACTTCCACGGCTCGCCCCCCTGTGTTCACCTTCCGGTCGTTTCTCGGCGAGCAGGTGTACGGGCAGGTGGGTGCGCGCGCACAGCAATGCATTGTGCTGCACTCGTCATGACATACCAGATTTTGAAAGTTTTACGTTTTCTCTCCTTTTCCCTCTCTTGTTTTTTTTTTGCCCCTCTTGTACCTTCGTGTTCCGCTGGCTTCCCGATTTTTCCTTCTCTCCTCCTGCAACGGGACCCCTTTCTCCCCTCCTCGCACCGTCTCCCCAGTTGTCCTGCACCACCCCCCTTCCTCTTCGCCTCCCGTTCTCCCCTCCTCACGTCTCCTACTCCCCGCCTCCCCCCTTCCTCTCCCTCCTCCCATCCCCCGCACCCAGGAGGCAGCGGAGCAGGTGGTGCCCCGATCCAGTGACTGGGCGCGTGCAGTGCGCTGCTTACGCCAGGCCCTGCGCAGCAACCCCAACTCCGACTGGTGGCGCCGCGTGCTCCTGCTCGCGCCCTGCTTCCGCCCCCTCCACTACCCCAACCCTGCCTCCGCAGCCGCAGCCGCTGTCGCCGCCAAAGGAGGAGCAGCCGCAGCCGCAGCTGCTGCTGCAGCAGCAGGGGCGGCAGCAGCGGCTGCTGCTGCTGGGCCTGGCGGAGGGGGAGCAGGTGGGGCGGCAGGAGGAGCAGGGGCAGCGGGGGGGGGTCTTGCGGCGGGCGGAAGCATGGGAGGGGCAGCAGCAGTGTCAGGCCCCCAGGGAAGCAGTATGGGCGGTGTAGGGGCAGCAGCAGCAGCAGTCACTCCTGGCGCAGCCGGCCCCTCTCCCACAGCAGCAGCAGCAGCGGCGGCTGCAGCAGCTGCAGCGGCAGCATCAGCAGCAGCAGCGAGTCTGCCGGTAGTGGGAGGGGGGCAGCTGCCGTTTCTGAGCTCCACGCTGTCGCACGCCATGCCGCAGTTCTCCTCTGGCATGCTGTGCGAGGCCCTTATAGACCACATCTCCGACCTCCTCACTCTCTCTGCTGCCGCCTCCGCTGCAGCTGCTGCCGCTGCTAACGCCCCTGGTGAGAAAATCCCGCTCTCCCGGCCTTTTATTTCCACCTGATTCTGCTTTTCTTTGTGCTCCCTCGCCTTTTTGCCAGATGCCATTCTGTCTCTCCTCGTCTCCCCCACCTGTCCTCTGCTGCTACACCCTGACTGCATGCATAACACCTCCATTTTGCCATCACCAGTTACCCAAAGCTACCGTGCCCTCTTTTACCCCCTTCTCTCCCATCTCCTCTTCCCCCCGTCTTTCCCTGCCCTCCTGTCTTCCTCCGTTACGACGTGTGCCCCCCCGCTCCCGCCACCATCAGGGGAGGTGGGGTGGGTGGACAGCGCAGGCGTGCCAGTGGACAGTGAGGCGCCGGCAGCAGGGCTGTGGCAGCAGTGGCTTGTGCTGGCAGACATATTCTACTTTGTCGTGCGCAACGGCTTTGTTGACTTTGTTGACTTTGTCAACCGCTGCTCCGCGCGCTTCCCGCCGTCGTCGCCGCCGCCCACAAACCACGTGACGTGGCTGATCGCACAGGTGTTCCGACTGGACAATGTGGCATCCGTGCTCAGTGCCGACCCCAACATGGTGAGATGTGGGGGATTGGATGGGATGCAGTGCAGTGAGGTGGGATGCGATGGGATGGTATAGGATGCGAAACGGTAAAACACCTATCAAACCCACCTTTTCCCTGGCCTCCCTCTCCCCCTCCACGCCCCCATACGCTCTCCGTCCCCTCCCCCACCCCCAGCTGGCGACAGTGCGCAAGATAGTGGCCCTGCAAGTGACGGAGCGGTCGGGGCAGAGGGGGTCGGGGGCGGGCGTGCTTCTAGAGTACATCGGCAGTGTGCAGATCCTGCGGCTGTGGAACCTGCAGAAGAGCATCAAAGACAGCCTGGATGAGGCGCGCCTGGCGGACTACAAGCAGCAGGGCAAGGTTCTTGATGAGTTCTGGCGCAAGATCAACAAGGGTGAGTGGGGAGGAAGAGGGGTTTGAGGGGGTTGGTGGGGGAGGGGGGGTGCTGTGTGTTGTTATGGGGCTGGCTGTGTTTGCTGCGGGTGGTTGGGTGTCGTGTGGGCGTCGGCCTGCTTGCGTGAGCGTTCTTCCCTGTGGTGTGTGTATGTGCGACTTGTGTCTGTGTATGTGCGTAAGTGTGCGTTTTTGTGTTTTACTCCTGCATCTCTTTCTCTTCTCGTATGCGGAATCTCTCGCCATCCCTTTGGTACTCTGGTGTTCCTTATGCGTCACGGTGCGTTTCGGTGAGGTGCGGTGCGGTGCGGTGCCATGGGTGTGAGCAGATGAGTTGAAGTTGCAGTACGATCAGCTGGACGATCACAGCACGGGCATGGTATGGGTGCTCAGCCACACCATGAGCCATCCCGTCACAGAGGCGCTCTTCAAATGGCTCACTGCCCCGGTACCTATCTACCCCCACCACACCCACGTGTACATACCGTGCGTACCACATATATGTACTGTGTGTGCGCGAAACCTGGGTTCCCCTGGGTTTGCACCCACTGCTCTGCTCTCTCACATGTTATGTTGTACTGTGTGAGATTCAAATCGGCTGCTGTATGGAATGCAATCCACGGGGGAAGGCACGCAGTCGCATATCACGAGCAGCACCACCTGCTCCGTCTTTTCACTCAGCCGCCCTTGCTTTACACTCGTGCTGCCATTCACCAACCCTCCTTCCCCCCTTGCGCTGTGTGCATCCCGTGGCTGTGTGTGAGCGGCAGGGTGTGAAGGACCTGGGGGGGGGCGTGCGCATGTGGAATGAGGCGAAGCTGCTGCCCACGAGTCTGCTGCAGGGGCTGTCGCTGCAGGTGGCTCAGCGCCTCGCTGCCACCCTGCAGGAACTCATTGCCAAGGCGCATGAGGTGGGATGGGGTGCGGTGCGGTGGGATGGGATGGGATGGGATGGAATGGGATGTTGTGTGGAATATAACGGAGTATGACCAAGTATGTTTATGTCTGGCATTGGTGTTTTGTGGAGACTACCATGAGAAGAGGAGCTTAGCAGGGTCCACCACTGACAAACAGTGGAGCTTCCTGCAAAATCATCAGCTTCCATTTCTCTCCTCATTTCCTCACGACACATCTCATCTGCTGCCCCCTCCTCTACTGCTCATCCTTGCCTTTTTTTCCCCAGAACGGGTTCCCAGCATTGCGATGGTGGAGACATTCGCACGGCTGCTGCTGGTGGCGCCACACACGCTCAACCAGACGCAGACCATCCACCCGCCACACACCTTCGTGCAGACCAACACCCGCCAGCACATTCTCCAGGTACTCAACCTTAACTCAACCACTGCCCCCCTCTGGTAAATGCACCGGTGCTCCAGTTATGTGATCAATTTGCGTCATGACTCTTCTGTTGTGGGATGATATGAAATCAGCAGTGTGAGTTTCCTGACTGGTACTCCACCCTTGTGCTATGGCATATGTGTGTTATTATTTCTTTAGTACGGGTCAATTTGTGAATCTTATTCATCTTTTTTCAATCTGCCAACCCCTTGTCAAGCGTCGATCTTCCAACTCCACACCTCTCACTGCTTGTGTCGTCGATGTCCCAACCCAACTCCCCTCCGCTGCGCCTCTCCCTTGCGCCCTTCTCGTGCGCCCCTCGCCTGCGCCCTTCTCCCCCCCCCAACCCCCCCCCCGCGCCTCTCGCCCACGCCCATACCCTGCGCTGCTCTCGTGCCCTACCCCTGCCCTGCCCTGCCCCCCCCCCCTGGGTGCAGGCGTCCTTGGAGAAGTACGTGCCCGGCGAGTCCAACAACTCCGTGCCGCTGCTGCTGCTTGAGCTCATCAACTACCGCCTCATCCCCTTCTTCCGGTGCGCAACACAAGTCCACTCTTCTACACTGGAATGTGATGCACTCTCTCCCCCCCCTCTTTTTTTTGCCTTCTCTACCTCTCCCCCGACCTTGCATGGCCACATGATGCGCAAAAGAACGGAGATCTGATTCCCTTGCCCGGACACTTCACCACTGACCCCCTCCCCAGGCCACTAGCACCCTTCCCCGCGGCATCTGTGCCAGCTGCTGCTGCTGCTGCTGCTGCAGCTGCTGCTGCTGGTGGGAGGTGATTCTGTTGGGGAGTGGGTGTGTGGCGGCTGTGTGCTGCTGGCTGGGTACTGAAGAGACCCCTTGCACACGCTGTGTGCCAAGCACACACCACTGATGGCCTTGCAACCTCTTGCTCTTTCCCTCAACAAACTTTTGTCCCCTTTTTTTTTCTGTTTAGTTATCCTTCTGATTTCTCCCCAATCCTTTTTCCTCCCAACCCCCCTTCTCTTCTGGACCCCTCCCCCACTCGCCCACCCCTCCACCCCTCTCTACCCTGAGTTACACCTGCCATGTCAGCATACTTGTCCTCCAATTCTCATTCTTTGTTTCTGCACCTGCTGCCTCCCCCCCTCTCCCACCCGACTCTAAACAAGTTGTTTATGACAAGCCGTGCCAGAGGATTCCATGTCACCTCTTCTCTTACTTCCAGCACCCCTTCCGCCCTCTCTTTGTTTTGAGTTGACTCAAAACAACGCCCTCTCTTGCTCATCACCCTTCCTTTCTCTGCTTCCTCCTACCGCCTCTCCCCCCTACCCCTTCCCCCCCTTCCTCCCCATTTCCCCCCTTCTTACCTTCCATCCCCACCCCTCCCCCCTTCTCCCCGCCCCCCAGGTACCACGGCAAGATGCGGGGGCTGATACTGGACCTGGCGAAGATCCTGATAAAGGTGAAGGTGGTGCCAGGGCAGCACCGACTCTACCGCCTGGCGGAGAACACCGCCATCAACCTCATCATGTCGCTCAAGGAGGTCATGCTCGTCAAAAAGGACTCCAAGGTGCGCCATGGTGTGGTGCGGTGTGGTGCGGTGTGCTGTGGTGTGGTGTGGAGTGGAGTAATGTAGGGTGCTGTGCTGCGCTGCGGTGCGGTGTGGAGTGATGTGTTGTGCTGGGATGCGGTGTGGTGTGGTGTGGTGTGGTGTGGAGTGGAATGATGCAGGGTGCTGTGCTATGCTGCGTGGCACTGCAAGGTGTCGTGACTTGCCATTGGTGCTTGTGAACAGTGCTGCAAGAAGTGCTACTGCTACTTCTGCTTCTACACATCTCAAAACTGAGAGTCGTCGTGGTAGTATAGTATCAGTTAGTAAACTTGAGACATAGTTCATTCATTCACGCATGGCTGCCTCCTCCCACCTCCTCCCACGTCCTCCCCTGTCTCACCCCATCCTTGCGCCCTGCACGTGCACCCAGAACGCCGCGACAGAGTTCTCAGAAACCCTCAACCGGGTGATGGTGCTGAATCTAGCCATCACAATGAAGACGCGCGGCATCCATGAGTTTGAGCAGATCGTGGTGCTCATGCCCGCGCTGGACCAGATGCTAGCGGCCTCCACGCACCGCTGGAGCGAGAAGACTCTGCGCTACTTCCCCCCACTGCTCAGAGACACGCTCTCAAAGAGGCCTGACTGCCGCGCCCAGCTGCTGCAGGAGTGGATGCAGGTGCGCGTCTCACTTGCGCATGGAAGACAGCGTGGACGGGGGGAGGGTGTTAGGGGAGTGTGTGCGGGTGGGATCAAGGGAGGGAACGCGGGAGGGAGCTTACGGGCGTTAAGGCTGCCAGGCATGGGTGTGTGAGCTTGCGTGTGAAATGCCACATCATCCTTGTTTTCCCAAACGTCTTCCCTTCTCTTCCTCGTGTGAAGGCTTCACACCAACCACCACAATCTCCCCTCCTCTCCCCTCCTCCGCATCCCTGTCTCCCGCGCTCTCTCCTCATGCCCTCCCCTACTGTCAGGTGGAGCAGCTGCTGCGGCAGAGGCAGCTGCTGCCAGTGCAGGCGGGGCGAGTGGCGGACCCCATGGCGGCGCTGAACCTGCTGGCGCAGCTGCCCCCGCACCTGCGCCACCTGCTCTGCGCCGCTGCCTGGATCCTGCACGATGCCTCCCCTGGCTCCGTCAACCTGCAGCACCTGGTAGGGGGGGGGATGGGGGTGGGGGGGAAGAATGTGGAGGGGGATGAAGTGGGGAAGGATAGAGGAAGGAATTGCGAAGGATGGGGTTTGTTAGTGCTGGGAAATTGGAGTGGGCAGTAAACACTCTGTGAAGGTTTAATTGTTTGTTTGTTTGTTTGTTTGTTTGTTTGTTTTTTTTTTTTTTTTTTTTTGGAACCACGTCCTTCCCCACGCTCGTTGTATCCTATCCGTGAGTCCATCTCATGAGCCCACTGTGCTTGTCTTTGCATTCTCACCCATGTGTGTGTGTGTGTGTGTGTGTGTGTGTGTGTGTGCGTGCGTGCGTGCGTGCGTGCGTGCGTGCGTGCGTGCGTGCGTGCGTGCGTGCGTGCGTGCGTGCGTGCGTGCGTGCGTGCGTGCGTGCGTGCGTGCGTGCGTGCGTGCGTGCGTGCGCGCGTGCGTGCGTGCGTGCGTGTGTGCACTGCCCTGTGTGCAGGCGCTGATGCTGCGGGACATGTCGCCCCATGACGTGACGCGCAACGTGTATGCGCTCGTTGACGTGCTGCTGCACCATGTGCTGGTCAGCACTGCCCCTCATTTTCAAATAACCACACCAGTGCCTGCTGATTAAGTAGAGCAGTTGCAGAGCAGTTTTCCTTGTCGATGCATCCGTTTTTCTCTGTTCCCCTCAACCCCGTCGCTCTCCCTTCCACCCACCCTCCCCCCTTCCGCCAACCCCCCCACCCTCCCTTCTTCCGCCAACTCCCCCACCTTCCAACATCTGTCTCAGCCTCTGATCAATGCATGCCCTACCCCTTCATACCTCTCTTCATCATACCCTCTCCCTTTCCTTCCCCCCTCTTTCCACAATCCCTCGCTCTCCACCCTCTCCCCCCATTCCTCCAACTCCTCCCCCTCCGTTCCCCCTCTCTCCCCGCGTACCCCACACACCCCCCACCACCAGGTGCAAGTGAAGCAACGCACGCAGCTGAAGCAGATCCTCTTAGCAGCGTCCGCAGCACTAGCCGACTGGATTTTCGTGAAAGAGCTCCTTCCAGCCGACATAGTCCTTCTCGCCCTAGCAGACCGCGACGACGGGTCCCCGAACAGCCTGCGCCTGGTGGTGGGTCTGCTCATGGACCGCCCTGAGCTGCAGAAGCGAGTAGCGGCGTACTGTGAGGCGCGCGGGCAGCAGGAGCACTGGACCGAGGTCGGGCCGTTTCAATCAGTCAACCCACTGGATGCACTCGGGAGCAACCTCATGGGGAACGATAAGTGCGTGGGGGGGGGGAGGGCGGGGGGAGGGCGGGGGGAGGGAGGGGGGGAGGGGGGGGGGGGATGGAGAGGGGGTGGGCGTGGGTGGAGCGGGGGGTGGGTTGGAGAGAGGGGGTTGTGTTGTAGCTGCTGTGTGATGCTGCGCTGTGTATACGTTCCTCTTTCAAACCGTCCTCCCCCCCCCCCCCCCCCGCCCCCCCCCCGCTCCCTTCCCTTCTCCCTGTTGCCTGCCGTGTTTACTTTCCTGTGAGCTGTGCTCCTCTGGTACCTTCCCTTCACTCCTTTCCTCCTTCATCTCCTCCTCCCCATGCTTTGTTATCTCTGCCTTCCTCTACCCCTGCTCTTTGCCCACTGCAACCAGCCAGTGTTCTTTGACCACATGGTGCTGCGTGTGGTGCCCCTCCACGCTGCCCCTTCACTGCTTTCCTCTCCTATCCCTGCTTCTGCACTTCCCTCTACCCCCCTCCTCCCCTTCCCCCTTCCCCCTTCCCCCTTCCCCCTTCCCCCTTCCCCTTCCCCCTTCCCCCTTCCCTCTTCCCCCTTCCCACTTCCCCCTTCCCCTTTCCCTCTTCCCGTTTCCCACTTCCCCCTTCCCCCTTCCCCTTGTCCCCTCTCCCCTCCACCCTTCCTCCTTCCCCTCCCCCATCCCTCTGCAGGCAGCCAGTGTTCTTTGACCACATGGTGCTGCGGGTGGTGCCGGTTGTGGCGCTCATAGTGCACCGCCTCATCGAGAACGATGCCATGGAGACGGCCGACCGGCTGCTCGCGCTCTACAGCCAGTCGCCCAAGCACCTGCTCACGTACCACCCGTCGCGCTTTGCGTTTGTGCGCGACACGCTCGCGTACTTCTACCCCGCGCTGCCCAACCAGCTCGTCATTCGCCTGCTCAGCATCCTCGACCTCACCAGGGTGCGTGGGTGGCATGGCATCTTGCCGCTGCAGCCGGGTGGGTGGAACCTCGCAAGGCTGCGTTTGTGTGTGTGTGCATAGGTGGGGTTTCTTTTTTCATCCCATGCTGCCAGACCAGCTCATCATTCGCCTGCTCAGCATGCTCGACCTCACCAGGGTGTGTGTGTGTGTGTGGCAGCTTGCTGCAGCTGGGTGCATGTAGCGTCGTGAGGATTCGTGTGTGCGTGCGTGCGTGCGTGGGTGCGTGCGTGCGTGCGTGCGTGCGTGCGTGGGTGCGTGCATGCGTGCGTGCATGCGTGGGTGGGTGGCTGGATGGGGGGGTATCTGTGCACAGGTGGGGCTGTTCTTGCTTTCACTGCCGGCCACGCACGCATCATGTGACTCTCTCTCTTTTCTTTCTCAACGGCTCCAGTCTTCACATGACACAGATGCCTCTGCATGCATCCCCACCATCCACGTTCGTCTCCGCAAACCAGCGCACAGCACAGCACCCTCTCTTGTCCCACACTCTCTCAACCTCTCCACTCCTTCCTATCCGCCCCAACCCCGCAATACACCCCTGAATGACCTTCTCCCACTGCTCCACACGCCACACATCACACGGCACGCCCTCACAGATCCCCTTCGCAGAGGCCTTTCTGAGGCAGATGGATCCATCACTCTCCTCCGCCGTCGAGCTCCCCCCCCTCTCCTACTTCCTCCGCCTCCTCGAAACCCTCTGTCAGCACATCATCCCCTCTCTCCCCGCCCCTCTACCCGCCGCCTCCGCCGCTTCCCCCTTCGCACCCCTCTCCCCGTTAGACTATTTCCACTCCATCTCCTCCCCTCCTCCTGCGCCTCCAGTCCAACCCGTGCAAATCCCGGGGCTCGGGTCTTTCTCTCTCTCCTCCCTCTCCCTCTCGTCACCGCTCCCAACTGCTCTCACTCTCCGATCACCGCCTTTCTATGAGCACTTAGACACGGGGGGGTTTGCGCAGCTGGTGCTAGAAACAGCAGTGCTGGAGATTCTCTCTCTCCCTCTCCCCCCACCGGGCAACTCCCCTGTCGAGCTTCTCCGAGCGTTGCTTGCTGCTGCAGCCTTCCCTCCTCTCCACCCCAACGCCGTCGAAGCTTCTGCTGCTGCTGCTGCTGCTGCCGCTTCTGCTGCTGCTGCTGCTGCGGTTGCGGCTGCTGCAGCAACCGGGGATGCAGGCGGGAGGGGGGTCGGAGGAGGGGTGAGGGTGGGAGAGGGCGATGGGGCAGGAGGGGGAATGGATCCAATGATGGTTGATGGAGCAGAAATGATGGATGATATGAAAGAGGTTACTGTGTTACCACCCAGGGAGATGTGGCCGTTACTGCCTCAAGCCCTGGGGCTGCTTCTGGCGAATCTACCGCCTCTATTCCAGTCCACTCTTTACACTGTCGTTGCCCAGAAGGTCATTGAGTTCCTGCCTGCTGCTGCTGCCAATGCCCCTCCTGCACCTCCCGCCTCTGCTGCTGCTGCTGCTGCTGCTGCTGCTGCTCCAAGCGATGCTTCTGGCGCTGCTGCTGCAGCTGGTGGTATGGGTACTGGTGCAAGTGCTGGTGCTGCGGTTACAGCTGCTACAGGTGGTGTGGGAGGAATTGGTGGTGCTGTGTCTGGGTCGGGGATAACTGGAGAGGGCCAGGGCGGGGAGGATGGGGAGGATGGGGAGGATGGGGAGGATGAGGAGGGTGGGGAGGGCGAAGAGGGAGAGGAGGGAGAGGAGGGGGAGGTGGAGGGGGATGTGGGAGCAGGGACACGGCTAGTGGACATGCTTCTCATGGACCCCTCATGGGCTATTGGCAACGCCACCTGCACTGAGCTAAGTGAGCTTCTCCCTCCTCCCCACCTTGTTCTGCTCCACCTCCCGCCTTCCTCCCTCCCTCACGCCCCCCTCCCTCCTTCACGCCCCCCTCACACGCACATTGTCAGAATGTTATATTTCTCTAGTCTGCAGTGGGGTACTCTATAGTGAGTACAGCCCTGTTAGGGTTTGCTATATGTATCCCATTGTTTGCTAGTGAAACCCCTCTTTTGCCTATTCTCTCTTGCCTAGCTAGCTAAACCCTAGCTATGGCTCTTTCGTTCTAGCTACTATTTCTGACACACATCACCTCTCTTATTTTGTTGCTTCTGGTCATGCTTTTGTGGGATTGGTGCGGGCGCCTAACAAGACAGCTCTTAAGCCGCCTAACAAATCCTGCTCCGCTCTTCCCCCCTGGTCTTTCCTCGTCCTCCCCCGCGCTGCGTGTCATGTCATGTGCAGGCATCTGGATGGCAGCAGTGCATGCGATGATGTACGCGCTGCCATTCGATCGCATAGAGGGCACCCATGCACTGCTCGTGCTGCAGCGCCCCATCCGCTCCCCAGCCCACCTGCGCCTGGTCTTCCGCCTCGTCGCCCCCATCCTGCCCCGCACACCCATCTCCAAGTCCCTCTTCGCCAAGGTGAGACGATTTCTGGGGCGCCTCAAAACTCGTTGCCCCATCCTGCCGCACACGCCATAAGTCCCTCTTTGCCAAGGTAAACCTGGGGACTGTAATACTTCTTTCTGCGCTATTATGCTGCATTTGCCATGCCCTCCTCTCACTCCCCCCATTCCTTTCCCTCCCAATCCCTCCCTTCCGGCTCCCTCCACCCCTCCCTCCCTCCCGGTCCTCACCAGACAATAGCGCTGCTATTTTCAGCGATAGCAGACGTGTTTGGAGTGAACTCATCCCCGCAAGTGACAGGCCCAGCCTCGTCCATCACCGATATCATCGACTTCATGTGAGCCTCCTCACCCTGCCTCTCTCCACAATCTTTCCTCAATATGAAGACCATGTCAAAGTATCTTTCCTCAAACCGGCTTCTGAGAAGCCTCAAAGCACCGCACGTTACAGGGCCAGCCTCGTGCATCACCGACATCGTCAGTGAGTCTCACCCTTCCTCGTTCCACTCTACTTATAGCTCCGCATGATAAAAGACGACAGCTCTGGATTCGCCTAGAAACCTCCTGCCGTTTTCCTCACACCGTGCAACCCCAGGCACCACGTGCTGCTGCTGGAAGGCGGCATGCCCACGCTGGCGAACCGGCGGCCCAAGCCAGAGACACTGCAGCTGTGCTCCAAGGCTGTGGAGCGCCTGCGAGAGGACGTGCGCGTGCCCTTCCGCCACCTCTGCATCGACCCCTCGCTTTCTGTCTACGCTGCCACACACCCCAAGCTCACTCGCTCCGCTGCTGCTGCGGCGGCGGCGGCGGCGGCGGCGGCTGCTGCTGCGGGTGCTGCTGGTGCTGGTGCTACTGGCGGTGGTGGTGCTGGCAATGTGATGGTTCCGAGCGGTAGTATTGGTGGTACTGCTACTGCTTCTACTGTGACTGCTGCTGCTGCTGCTGCTGCTGCTGGTGCTGCTCCTACTGCTGGTGTGCCGCTTGGTGCTGCTACTACTCCCCGCTCTGCTTCAGTCACTGCACCTGGCTCTGCCGCTCCCAACACTGGCATGGTAGGGGGAGCAGGAGGAGGGGCAGGGATGAGAGGGGGGCACGGAGGGATGGGGATGGGAGGAGCAAGTGCAGTGATGGGGGGGCAAGGAGGCATGAGAGGGGGTGCGATGGGAATGAATCCAAACAGTGCTGTGGTTGGTGGCGGAGGGCTCAGTTTGCCTGGGCAGGGATTGTACATGTCAAAATAGCAACGGTCAGTGGTACCTGGTGTATGTTGCAGCTTGCAGCTTCGAGCTTGTCTTGGAGCCATTTCTGTTACCGGAATATATTATAGCGTAATTTTTCACTGTAGTTAGATATTGACGTATTTCACAATTGTTATGTTATGCTCACTTCTAAGAAATATGCATCATAGAGACCATCAATAGGATGTTCACACTACTCAACCGCTCTGGCTCTGTTCTACAGACAGACAGGCCCAGTGCGGAAACGGAAACGGAAACGGAAACACCCAACACCGAGGCAGCGAGGGAGCGCGGGTGCATGGCGACACCGGAGGCTGGGGGGAGGGCTTGCGCTTCTCGTTCCGTCACGTGACCTGTTCCCGGATTGCGCCGCCGAGCGCACGAAAGCCCTGTCACAGATTTTCGCCAATCCTGCTCGCCAGATTCGTCCTCCACCGCCCACTTCTGACAACAGGGGGGATGCTGCCCATAAGACGAAAGGGCCCACAGGATAGCCGCAGCATTTGCAAATATAAAACCGTGACGACGACACCCATTTTGGTCGCCTCCAAATTTCGCTTTCGCCACGCTCTGATTCTCGAAATTTCTGTTTTCGAGGTTTCGCCAAGACTATTTCAACCTCACATAACTTGAAAAATTACCATGCTGACCCCGGGTTTTAAAGCAAGTAGAGCATGGTTGTCACTTCTAGGAGTTATGGTATGATGCTGGAAACATTGTCACACCGTGAGGCCAAAACGTCGTACCAGTGACATGATTCGACAGTCAGGCAGTTTTCTATCTACTGTAGTGGTGGTTGTACAATGATGGTGTGATAATAGTTCTAAGAAGTGCAATCATGTACATTGTACAGCATGTTGGGCTACTTTTGAAGAGCCTATCCATAGCAACACCTAGTCTGTGTAGCGGCAGGGGGCATGGAGCAGTTCTAGTCAGTGTAAGTGATGTCAGCCTGGCTCCTTAGGAATGCTGGCACCTGATCAAAAGGAATGCCCTCCAGCCGAGACACCTGTAGCGTACCAATCAGCAAGCAGGCACGGGAGGACCCCCGGGAGGAGGTTGTGGAGAGGAATGAGGGAACGAGGGAAGTACATGTTTACCATTTGTGCACCATGTGGATTTGAGAACGCCTGTGGGTTGAGTAGAGGGAGTGAGTGAGGAGTGGGGAGAGAGGAATGGCGCAAAGCAAGTTGCCTCAAACTCTTTGAAGTCCATTGGTAGAAACATGCAACAGCACTACCTGATTAAATCAAAGCACATATACCATCTTTCGGTGCATTCTCATCTGGCTGCTTCAAAACGCATTTTGAGTGATTTGGCTCACCAAATGTGACTCGTGTTTGACCCGCTCCCCTGCCTCACCTCTTCCTGCAGCACATTCCACTTGAACTCTTTCAGAGAGCGCTCCCCAAACTTGGCCCACGTCACGCTCGCTGCCACCTGCATGTTGATGCACAAGGGGGGTGGCGGGTGGCGGGTGGGGGGGAGGTGGGGGGGGGGAGGGGGTGTGGGGGGGGAAGGGGAGGGTGGGAGTGGGTAACATACAGGGAGATGAAGTAGAGGACAGAGGTGTACAATCATACAAGAGGACAGTGTAGTGCAGCGCAGCACAGTGCAGAAAAGGTATCTTGAATTACTCTTGTAATAGCTTCCCGTGCCCTTCCCAATGAGTCATGATGAAAGGCCGGATGCAGCATGGGGAGAGGGCGGGCTGACCTACCTTCTCAACGTCTGCCTCAGAGGACTCAAGGAGCGCGGCTTTGATCTGTGCATCCAGCACATCGTTGCTCTTGCGCTCCTCCACTGCCAGCAGCTGCTGCTCTATCTCCGCCCTGCTCCATGCACACACACACGCGCACGCACGCAGGGGTGTAGGGGCGCACAGCAGCACAAGGATGGGCATTTGAGTCGACTCGAAAGCATGCGTGTAGGGAAGTATAGTAGCAAAGGCTGTGTGGAGCAGAGAGAGTGGAGCAGAGAGAGTGGAGCAGAGAGTGTGTGGCAGAGAGAGCACTGACCGCTGCACATCAACGGGTCGGGGGTCCTTCTCGATCTCCTTCTTGATGCCAATCTCCTTCACTGTCACTGTGAACTGCGCCCTGCCCGTGCACACACATGACGGGAAGATGCAGGCGGAGAGAGGAGACGAGAGGAGAGGAGAGGAGAGGGATGAAACAGGTGACGATAAGAAGCGGCTGTGGGAGGATGAGGGCAGGCAGGGCAAGGAAGCATGCTGACGAGCATGCTGAAGATGAAAAGAACATCGCTACAAGTGGACAGGGCGCGGGGGAACGTTCAGGGTAAAGGGCAGGGTAGAATTAGGAGCGAAATCCAAGAAGGAGAGCGGTGGGGATGGGTGGGAGGAGCACGCACTTGACGCCTGCGAGGGCCTTGGCCTTGTAGTCTGCTGGGAAGGTCAGCACGAACGTCTTGCTCTCCTCCTGCCACACCACACCAGACCACACCACACATCACACCAGCCACACCACACCTCAGCCCACCATCATGGCACATCACGATCACGCCGCGAACGTGCCCATGCATCCACACCACACGGGCAACAGGATAGACACACGGGGAGAACGATGAAGGGTGACACATGATGGGTGATGGTAGGTGAAGGGGATAGCGGCAAAAGGGTAGAGCGCGAGATCTAAGTGGGACGGGGCGGATGAGAGAAGGAGAGGCGAGTCATTAAGGAGACAACATCTGATCCCTCTCCTGTCCCACCCCATCCCACCCGCCTTGATCCATCCCAAACCAACCAGCAACTCCAGATGCTGGCCCCTCCCCGATCCCACCCTGCCCATGCACCTCCCCCATGCCCATCCAGCACGCCTCTCCCCCATGCCCATCACTCGCGCTTCTCCCCCATGCCCATCACTCGCGCTTCTCCCCCATGCCCATCACTCGCGCTTCTCCCCCATGCCCATCACTCGCGCTTCTCCCCCATGCCCATCCTGCGCACCCCTGCCCCATGCGCACCCTCCAGACCCCTCCCCCATGCCCACCCCTTGCGCACCTGCCCCATGCGCACCCTCCGCGCTCCCGCCCCACGCCCCCCAGCGCACCCCGTGCGCGCCCGCCCCACACCCCCCCACATGCGCACAACCCTCGGCGCACCTGCCCCATGCCCTGCTTGACGATCTGCTCGACGAACGTCTTCCACGGCTCGTCGTCGCGCGCCGCGAGGTGCAGCTCGTACCCCGCCGCCTTGGTGCCCTTCACCACCTGCCCCGCCTGCGGCCCGTCCGCGTACTTGCCCTCGAAGTTGATCTTCACCTGCGCGCACCCACGTGGGCAATCAGGGGAGTAACCACGTGGGCAATCAGGGGAGTAACCACGTGGGCAATCAGGGGAGTAACCACGTGGGCAATCAGGAAAGCAACCACGAGGGCAATCAGGAAAGCTATCACGTGGGTAATGGGGGCAGCGACCACGTGGGCAATCAGGTGGACGGAGATCCTAGGTAAACATGATCGTGCTGACTGCTAACGAGAGTGGGGCGAGTGAGGGTTTCCCGTGTAAATTCCAGACTTTGGGGTTTGTTCGACGGGGAGGGAAGGGGTGGGGAGAGGGTGGGGGTGAAGAAGAAGCAGATAACCCTAGTTTGCCCGTAAAAGCGGCGAGCGTAGGTCCAGTTTCGAGCAGCTCGCGGCACGCACGCACCGTGTGGCCGAGCTTGGCGCCAGAGCCGGTGAAGTTGGTGCGCTCGAACTCGTGCGTCTTCTCCAACTTGGCCTTCAGCGCCTGCGCACGCACGCGGACACAGAGCGGTGGGGGTTGGAGGGGAGAAAAGCGGGGGAGAGGGGGAAGGTAGGAATCAAGAGCGGCGCATGCGGAAAAAGGGGCGCAAAAAAGTGCTGCTATTTTGCTTGATACTATTAGCAGTTAATGGTAAGGCAATGAAGAGGACACTAGGGAACGGGGAACGTGGGGAGAAGACGGCAGAGCAGGCGCGGAACAAAAGAGGAGCGGTGCTTACCTTATCGACTGTCTCTTGGGCCACCTGCGAGGAGAGGAACGGACACGCGGAGGATCGGAGCAGCACAGGGAAGTAAAAAACGGTTAGGGGCGCGTTGTAATCGCGCTCGACGGCGTACGCGAGGAGCTACTGTGGAAAATACCTGCTAGCACAAAGAGAGAGGTTCAAGAGCGCTAGTGCGGAACGAAATACGGGAAGGTACGCAGGTGAGTACGCGATGAAACGGTCGCAGTTGACGCTTCATTGCCTCCCATAGCACTGGCACGTACGGGAAGAGAGAGGGGCCGGGAGCGGAGCGAGAGACCGGAAGCGGAGCGAGCGGCGGTACCTTGGGGCGGGGCGCGGTGGCCTTGATGGCCTTGTTGGTGTACGGGCCCAGCGTGACCTTCACCTTCTGCTCCGTGCGCAGCTCCTGCGCCACCACGCGCACTGCGCCCCCCGCCGACCGCCGTTGCCCCGCCTTGCGCGCCGCGGGGAAAAGAGCCTGCGGCGAGCGGGAGAGACGGGCGGAAAGGATGAGATGATTCCGAGGCGATTGAATCGGGAAACGTGGGAATTGAGAAGAATGCGGAGGAGACTCAAAGGAGAGGATTAACGGCAACGACGGAGAGAAACGAATGGAATGGTGAAGTGTGGAATGAGACTTACGCGGGAGCTCTGAGTGAGCTCGCACGACTGGGAGAAAGACACGCTGCGAGCGCCAGCCACAGATGTGCAGCGCGAAGATTGCCGCAGCGAGGGGCCGGAGACTCCCTGCGAAGCGACAGCGCGCTCCGCAACGGAAGCAATCATTCTTGTGGCAGCCATGGCGGATGGAATCGTATGATGGAAGTGCAAAGAGTGGACGTTTGGAGGCAGAAAATGAGAGTCCACAGAATGTTGTGGATTATACTTGGTAACTTCGTTGGGCGTGGGGAGCTGACGCGGACGTGGCAAACGTTCATTGACCCAGCCGACAAATCGTCCGACCTGGACAGCCTCGAGGCTGGTTCGGCCCGGTTCATGGGCCAAGCTGGTGGGATGCCTGGTTAGCTGCTCAAATGCCATTCGGCCTTAGGATTTTCTCTACAGTAAGCAAGAATTCTTATCCGGGCGAAATCTGTTTCGCGTGCATGCACTAATGCTGGCGACTCTGGCGAAACTAGACGTAACTGAAACAGCGTTACGAAAGCACAAAGTTCACAGTTTCTCCACGTCAACGTGTGGAGCCAGAATGCGATTCGCACTTTGTTACAACGCTCGTCATCAGAGACAGGATCCGCGTCATTGTGCAATGGAGTCTTCGTGAAGTGACACGTGAGCACTTTCCAGCAAACACGTTTGAAACCGAGAGAATGACTCCAGTGGCCAATAAGGTGATTCACCATCCCTCGCGTGGCCACGAATGACTCGAGTGGCCACCAAATTTGGTGATAATGACTCGAGTGGCCACGCCAGGGGATTCTTGCTGGCTTTTTTTTTCACGGCGCATTACCCTAAGGTGATAAAAAAATAAACCCCATGGCTTACGGCATGCCATTCGGGAGCCTCAACCCTAAAATTTTAGGGTTGAGGCTCCCTCGGATGGCATGCCTTCCGAGTGGGTTTTAGTTTTTTTCTTGCCCACGGTCACTAATGTGTTCGCGCATTTATGCCCCCGCAGAGCAGTTTATGATCGCTGATATTTTTACCGCGCGCTCATTGGTCGGGCATTGGGCCGAAATTGACCGTGCAACTACTGTTGGTCGTGCATTTTTTACGGTTTTGTGTACAGTGTGTGGGCGAAATTTTCGGGTGCGGAACAGAACGGAACACTACCTAAGGATACCACTCGCACGAATGGGGAATTTCGTGGCTACAAAGCCCCGTAGGGTAATGCGCTAAAGACAAAAAAAGCCAGCAAGAATCCCCTGGCGTGGCCACTCGAGTCATTATCACCAAATTTGGTGGCCACTCGAGTCATTCGTGGCCACGCGAGGGATGGTGAATCACCTTATTGGCCACTGGAGTCATTCTCTCAATGACTCGAGTGGCCACGCCAGGGGATTCTTGCTGGCTTTTTTTTCTTTAGCGCATTACCCTACGGGGCTTTGTAGCCACGAAATTCCCCATTCGTGCGAGTGGTATCCTTAGGTAGTGTTCCGTTCTGTTCCGCACCCGAAAATTTCGCCCACACACTGTACACAAAACCGTAAAAAATGCACGACCAACAGTAGTTGCACGGTCATTTTCGGCCCAATGCCCGACCAATGAGCGCGCGGTAAAAATATCAGCGATCATAAACTGCTCTGCGGGGGCATAAATGCGCGAACACATTAGTGACCGCGGGCAAGAAAAAAACTAAAAACCACTCGGAAGGCATGCCATCCGAGGGAGCCTCAACCCTAAAATTTTAGGGTTGAGGCTCCCGAATGGCATGCCGTAAGCCATGGGGTTTATTTTTTTATCACCTTAGGGTAATGCGCCGTGAAAAAAAAAAAGCCAGCAAGAATCCCCTGGCGTGGCCACTCGAGTCATTATCACCAAATTTGGTGGCCACTCGAGTCATTCGTGGCCACGCGAGGGATGGTGAATCACCGTTTTGGCCACTGGAGTCATTCTCTCTTTGAAACCAGGGCGATGTTTGGCTGCCACAGGGGATCGACCGAGGAGGGATGGGTGGAGGGATCAGTTTCTCAGCTAGGGTTTCTAGTTCGGTGTGGTCAGCTCGGAGTCAACCGTCGTTGACTCCAAGTCGGGGGTCCAGGCGGAGGCGGGAAGTTTGGGGGAAAAGGCGCGGACGAGCGACTCGGGAAATGGGGGCCCACGAAACTGCAGCTGCGCGAGAAGAAACTTCGCGAGCTGAACAGTTTTCAAGAAATTACTGCTGGAATTTGTCTGGGTAGCTTACTCGCTTTACATTTTGTACACCCTAAATTAACTTAAAGGTGTAAATGACGGTTCGACTTTATTTAATTTCGGAGATTTCATTTTGAATCTGTGTGTTAAGCATTATAATTTTAATGTCCGTGTTATTGTTTTTTTAGAGTGTTGGGTAAATTTAAAAACGAAAATTATGAAAGGGGGCATGGATTCTTCATTCCCCGTGGGCCGTGACCACCCACGGGAATGCATTTTCCATGCCCTGAACACTAGGGCGGAGTTTTTCCGCCATGGGGGGGAATTGGGGGGAGGACGCGACGCGGGTTCAAGCCTAGCGCGGGGTTCGCGTCGCGTTTTAGGCTCACGTCCGACACTTTTTTCACAATTTTCGCGTCTGACCGAAGTGTTTTGCCTGGTTCGAAGAGGTCGAACCAGGAGCCTCGGCGTTTTGATGCTCCCTTCCATCCCCTCCCCCCCAACCCCTGTGGCAGCCGAACATCGCCCAGGGATTTGGTCGAGGAAAAAGAAGCTTCTGTACCACAGCGCCTTATTTCTACCATGCCCTCGTCCCTCGGTAGTGTCTCACTGAACCTACAACAGGGTCACACTCGCCAGGTCTTTCTTGAGCGTAGCTTTGATTGTTCGCCGAGTCCTGCGAGAGCCGTGCGCGACGAGCCCGGCAAGTGCTTATTCGCGAGAGCAATTTTGAGGTGGTACTTTTAGAGCTGTCTACCCAATTTGTCAATTCCGCCATGTCTTGCCCGTTTCTCGCGGCGGCTGCAGCTTCCGGCGAGGCTAAGGACGCGAGTCGCCCCGCGGGAGGCTGTCCTTTCGCGAAGCGGTTCGGTCTCCTCGGTTCATCCCCAAGCGACCCTGCGACGCAGCGAGATTTGCCCGTTGCAGCAGCGGCAGCAGCTGCCGGCACAAGCGAAGCCGCAACAGAAAGAGAGGATGCCAATACTGGGGAAAAGCACGAATCCGGACCACGAAATTCTGCTTTAGACGCGGTCGACGGACGAGCGGACAGCAGCGGCGCTGCGGATGGGGGGAAGGCGGAGGGGGAGAACGGGGGGAAGAGCGGGAGGAAGGCGGGCGCAGGGCGGTGCCCGTACGGGTTCGACTCCGCAGCGGACGGGCGCATGGCGGCGGCTGTGGGGCCGATGAGTTGCGTGCTGTGCAAGGCGTTGCTGTTCGACCCCGCTCGCTGCGACCCTTGCAAACACGTGTACTGCAGGTGCGGGGTTGTTAAGCGAAAGACGAGAGAGAGGAAGAGAGAGGGAAATAAAGCGAGGGGGACGGGAGAGTATGAGATAAGAGAGAGGAATTGGGACAGGGCGGGAGTCGGTTGTTCAGAGGGGAAGCGAGTGGGGCATGGAGCGAGGAATTATAAGGTGAGGATGTTCAGGCCGTGGGAGAAGAGAAAGGAGTCATTGTCGTTGCCCTTTGTGGCTTTATCACCAGGCTTTGTTCTACGCCTTTCCTGACGCGGCAAGTCTGGAGTTGCCTCCGCATCTCTGATCAATTCCTCCACTTGTGATACTCGTGCCTTCGCTCATCCCCATTGCGAACACGCCCATGCCCAACTCCAATCCCCATTCCTCCCCCTTAACCAACTTTCTTCCCAATCCCCATGAGCTTCCACAGCCCTACTTTGTCTCACTCCTCCCCCTCTCTCCCTTCCCCCAACAAACCCTCCTCCCCTTCCTCCGGGACCCCCTGCTTCTTCCCCCGCAACCGCTCGCTGCACGGCCGCACGAGCAGGGAGTGCATAGCGCGGTTCACGGACTGTCCGCTGTGCGGGTGCGACGTGAAGGCGCTGCTGCCAGATGAGGCGCTAGCACATGCTGTGGACGCCTTCATCTCCGCGCACGTGCTGCACCGCCCCGTCCCCGCCCCCCTCCCGCCCGTGCCCGCGCCGCATTCTGAGTCGTCACACAATGCGCCAGAGGCTGCCGCTGCTGGTGGTGCTGATTCGTCCGGCACAGATGCTTCTGCAGCTGCAGATTCAGCAGCAGCAGCAGCAGCGGAGCGGGAGGCGGAGGCAGCGAGGGTGGAGGTGGAAGCACTGGACCTGGACAAGGCCAGCCCGGGCAGCTTCCTCTTCCTCCACGCCATGCGGGTATGATGCTTCTGCTGCTGGGTGCTGCTGGGTGCTGCTGGGTGCTGCTGGGTGCTGCTGGGTGCTGCTGGGTGCTGCTGGGTGCTGCTGGGTGCTGCTGGGTGCTGCTGGGTGCTGCTGGGTGCTGCTGGGTGCTGCTGGGTGCTGCTGGGTGCTGCTGGGTGCTGCTGGGTGCTGCTGGGTGCTGCTGGGTGCTGCTGGGTGCTGCTGGGTGCTGCTGGGTGCTGCTGGGTGCTGCTGGGTGCTGCTGGGTGCTGCTGGGTGCTGCTGGGTGCTGCTGGGTGCTGCTGGGTGCTGCTGGGTGCTGCTGGGTGCTGCTGGGTGCTGCTGGGTGCTGCTGGGTGCTGCTGGGTGCTGCTGGGTGCTGCTGGGTGCTGCTGGGTGCTGCTGGGTGCTGCTGGGTGCTGCTGGGTGCTGCTGGGTGCTGCTGGGTGCTGCTGGGTGCTGCTGGGTGCTGCTGGGTGCTGCTGGGTGCTGCTGGGTGCTGCTGGGTGCTGCTGGGTGCTGCTGGGTGCTGCTGGGTGCTGCTGGGTGCTGCTGGGTGCTGCTGGGTGCTGCTGGGTGCTGCTGGGTGCTGCTTGGTGCTGCTTGGTGCTGCTTCGTGCTGCTGGGTGCTGCTGGGTGCTGCTGGGTGCTGCTGGGTGCTACTGGGTGCTGCTGGTGCTGCTGGGTGCTGCTGGATGCAACTAGGGTACAAGGGGCTCAACAGGGCACAGGAGATGGGGTGCTGAGGGATGGGGCAATGGAGGTCGGTACACCTGCCTTATGCATCTGCATCTAATGCTCTCCCACCCCCATGACCCGCCCTCCCATCCCCATGCATCCCCATGCACACCCACCAGGCCATGCAGCATGGCAACCTGCCCAGTGCGCGGGCTCGCTTTGCGCTCTCCGCCTCCTCACTCAAGGCCTTCCTCTCCATGCCCTCCGCTGCTGCTGCCACTGCTACCGCTGCTCATGCTGATGCTGCTCGTGGTGTCAGCAGCAGCAGTTCTGCTGGTAATGCAGGAGAGAATGAGTCTCGAGAATCAGCCGGTGTTGCTGCTGCTGACTCGCCTGTGCCAGACCCAGCCGTAGCGGCAGCAGCGGCAGCAGCAGGCGGGGTGGAAGGCACAGACATGCAACGGCGTGCAGCGGTATCACGACTGGGAGCAGTGCTTGGTTCCCATGCTGACTGCTGGTGCGTGCCTTGCCACCCTCCTCACCCCCGCTCTCACCTCACACACCAGTCCTCCTATCCCCCTCGTCTTTCCCTTCCTCCTTATCTGCCCCTCTCTCCCCTTCTTTAGTTCCTGGTCTGCACCATACCACACTGTACCACATCAGCATCAGTAACCCTTTGTTGGGAACTGTTTTCTTGTCTTATTCCTCCCTTGACCCCCGCCAGTCTGCTGATGTGTGACGTGGCATCAGCGGCCAGCAGCTACCAGGAGGCAGTGGATGTGCTCTCTGCTGCGCTGCCTGCCCTGCCTGCGCTGGGCAAAGGCGAGAGTGACGGCGAGGGTGAGGGCGAGGGCGAGCGAGCAGTGCAGGAGGGGCAGCAGCAGGGGCTGGAGAGGCCTGGTGGTGGTGACTCTGACCGTGGTGCTGTTGAAGATGAGGTAGGTGCTTGGCCAGTGCTGGTGCGTTTGGAAAATAAGAGACTTAATCTTTTGACAAATCTGACTTGGTAGAATAGGGGACCTGAGTTGCCCTTGAGGCAGTTAGCCTCAGAGTCAACAGACAAGGCTGCTATGCCTCCACTGCCGCCCTGCCTTTCTGCTATGCCCTTGCGCTGCCTTTCTGCGTCTTGTCAATTTGTGATCATGCCACCTCTAGCATCCGAATGTGCTTCTGATTCACCTCAGTAACAGCCTGCGTTTTGATCATGCCACCCCAAGTGTTTTAACGATTTACCCCCAACCTCCCACTATTCCCATTTTCCTTCTCCCTCCCTCTCCTCCTCACCCCCCCCCCCCCCCCCCCCCGCCCCACCTCTCCGCCACACCTCGTCCACTTCAGCTGCACCACGCGCTCTGTGTGACGCTCAACAAGCTGGGCGACCTGCACTACCGCTCCGACCGCGTGCCTGAAGCGCTAGCTCTCTACCAGCAGGCTCTTGCACGCAGGCAGCATGCACTGGCTCGCACTGAAGCAGGCACCCACGCAGGGGGCTTGAAGGGTGCTGTGAGGGAGACGGCCAGCAAGGTCCGTTGTGGCTTTGGCTTTGACTTGACAACCATGTGTTGCTCCTTTGCTGCGAAACGAGCATCCAGGGCCGTGTCTATGCCCGATATCTATGGCTGGTTATGGAATTAGCTATCTCATACCCACCAACGGCTCGCATGACAACCCTTTATTTTGTGCCATCTCAGCATTCTTCGCTCCCTCCCCTTTGCACTGTCTTTTTACCCTCCCTTACACACTCTATCTTTCTCCAGACAAAACTTCTTCCCCTTCCCTTTCTCTCTCTCGTCCTTTCTCCCTCCCTCCCTCCTTCCCTCCCTCCATCACCCCCACACTCACCCCCTACAGGCATTAGGCGTGGCGGTGTCTACAGCCAAGGTGGCGGACGCACAACAGGCGCTGGGGGAGGAGAAGACTCTTGAGGCGGCGCGCCAGAACTTCATTTTGCCTCTCATACCCTTTCCCCTCTTCCCCCCTTCCTAACACTCACCGCCTGCAGGCATTAGACGTGGCAGTGTCAACAGCCAAGGTAGCGGACGCGCAGCAGGCGCTGGGGGAGGAGGAGAGTGCGAGGGAGGGCTTCTCACGCGCACTGCGCCTCGTGCAGGGCGTCAAAGGGACTCTCACTGCCGCTGCTGCTGGCGGACAGGGGGACTGCTTGGCTCTGCTGGATAAGGTCAGGAGTGGGCAGGGAGTGGGGGTAATGGTTGTGGCTGGAATGTGGTTGTGGGGTGTGGCTGGGGAAAGAGGTGTGGGGTTTACATGCGCGGGTGAGGTGCTGGGTGTATGTATGCATGTTATGGGGCGTGCTGCTAGCGCGTGGATATGGCACAGCTAGTCACGTTCTTGTGTACGGTATCTGTTTGTGGGGCTGCCTGGTTGCAGGTGGAAGCCACACAGGCTTTCCTGCAACAGCAGCTGGCGGCCGCAACAGGAACAACAGGAACTGCAGCAGCAGCAGGGGCGACTGAAGCAGGAGAGGCAGATGCTAAGAGCTGACATGAGAAAGGCAACTCGCATGCCGCCTGTCACCAGATAGGCTATGTTCAGCCATCGTTCCACATCTGGGAAGGCTACTGGTATGTTCACCCATCGTTCCAGCAGCAAGCTACCAGCGGTTTGTTAAATAATATACGGTATGCTCTTGAAATGGAATTGGGTGGAGGGATCACGTGCTTTACTTGAACTACAGTACCGTAGTATGCCAATGAGCAGCACTAAAACATACTGAGTAGCCCTTTGTGTTGCACATATACACCCCCCTTATATGTACCGGTAAGCTAAATAAGTTGTCAATCAATTTCCTCCCAACCTCCCTAATCTGTTCCATCAACTGCTGAGAGGAGAGCTGCCAGTCAAGTGCACGCAGTGAATCCTCTCAGCCAGCTGCAGCACCGCCCTGCACGCCTCCTGCTCCCACAACCTCCCTCCCACAGCCTCATCCCCTGCATACACCGCCAGGCCCCACGTGAAGCTCTTGGCGCGTGCAGGCGAGAAATTCTCCCCCACTGACACACAGCCCGCTGCTGCTGCTGCGCCACCAAGGCCCCCACCAACCGCCTTGAGCTGCGCCACTGCTGCTGCTATGGCGTCAGGTGACGCGGCCTGCTGCCACTGAATCATGGCGGTGTGGATGGAGACATGTGGGGGCGGAGCGGAGGAGGCGGAGGTGGAGGCATCAGGGACGTCGGTTTCCCAATCGACGGCTGCGATGTCGCTGATGATGGGTTTGACATTCTCTGTCACCACGGCCACGTGCTGCGGCGACACCGAGTATTCCTGCAGCGCGTCGCGCGACTCGTACCGTCCGAAGAGCGCGTGCGTCCACGGGCTGGCGGAGGTCGCGGCGGCGGAAGGAGGCGCGCCGGCGGGCGCGGCGGGGAGAGCGGGGAGAGCGGGTCCCGCGGAGAGGTATAGCACGCCTGGGAGGGTGCGCAGCGCGTTGAGGTTGGTGAGGAAAGTGGCGACGCGATCCGCGGGAGTGTCTGGCTTGACCTGAGGCGCGACGGAGAGATGTAGGGAGTAGGTCGGGGTACGGGACGACAACAACGTCGAGATGAGAAAATTGGGAAGGGGTTGTTTGAAGGAACGAGAATTCCAGTAACGTCGGGAGATTGGAGAGAAATGCGCTTACTATGTTCCTCCTGGTTTCGCGAGTCACGAGCGCGGTTTCTGCAGCATTTAGTCCAGGGACGATCAAGCGGGAACGAGCGTGAGGCGGAGCACCGCGACGACTATTTCCGAGGCACTTGGGAACGAGTGTGAGCAGCAGCAATTCGAGGCTTGCATGCTCACCTGGAAGAACACGAGATGCTCCACTACGCTCCGTGCGGCCGCCATGGATCTAGACTCGAGATCGAGATCAAGCGATTCTCGGAGCAGCGGCGTGCGTGAAAGCACGCGACGCGACGTGAGCCGTGCAGGTCCGTAAGCTGCTTTCCAGGCTCCTACGATCCCACCCTTTTGATACTCGCGTAGCTCACAATCTGGTTTGGTTTGAATAGGTTTTGCCGGAGTGGAGTGTTTTCAGCCTGCTTCAAACTCTCAACGAGTTCGAGAGCGATAAAGTGCGATTCAAGAAACAAGCAGTGCGGCTTAGAACTTTTTTATGGTTGTAAGAAGGGCGATTCAATTCAAGCCCCTGTGATTGGGCCTCGACTCTGTCACTCGCCACACCACATCACCATCACTCGAAAATAGCAAACCCCCCTCCACCCACCCACCAACCCGCCACTCCGTTCCATTCCGACGCGTTCACATCACGCGCACTTAGTTGCTGCGAGTGACTCTGGCCCTTCCTAGGGATAGGCTCAGGTCGGATCTTCTCGCGGCACGGCCGCACGCGTCTTCCGCTTCGTCCAGCCCGTCCGCCTACTCCCAGCTCGGATCGCGTTTCTTTGTTTTCTAAGCAATCCCCCCGTGATCTCGGTCGTCGATAGTATTTGCGCCTCGGAGGCGCGTGATGCGCGCTAGCGTGGATGGGGAACTGGCTATCGCGGGACAGGGGGAAGGCAGTCGAGCGGAATTCAGCTGAGCGGAAGTCTAACGAGGGGGATACAAGCGAGCGGAAGCCAGTGGAGCAAAAGCCGGTCGAGCGGAAACCGGTCGAGCGGAAACCGGTCGAGCGGAAACCGGTCGAGCGGAAACCGGTCGAGCGGAAACCGGTCGACCGGAAGCCGGTCGAGCGGAAGTCATTCGAGCGGGAGCCATTTAAGTGGGAGCCATTCGAGCGGAAGCCGTTCGAGTGGGAATTGAGCGATAAGATCCCGCTCGGGGGAAGCTCTCGCGGGGATAGGGACAAGGCGCTTGCGCGGAACCTTGGATCCGCGATCGTTGCGGAGAGCGCGGAGAGGCGCGGGGCAGTGGGGGGATTGGGAGAGGTCGGCCCCGCGCGGATGGCGGAAGCACTCCGCGGGGAGGGAGGGGAAAGGCTAGCGCGCGTGGAGCAGGAGAGGGATATAAGCGGGGGGGAAGGAACGCGGGGCAAGAGAGAGGAGTTAGGGGGAGTAGTTGTTGTGAAAAGCATGTTAGCGGAGGGGGGTGTGGGCGAGGTGAAAGAGAAAGCGGAGGGGGGTGTGGGCGAGAGTGCAGTGGCGGAAGCGATGGAGGAGGATGCGGGAGGGGAGGCGGAACGGCCAGCGGGGGGAAGCGCGGGAGGGGAAGAATCGAGGGAGGCGATGATGGTTGAAGCGGGGGTGGAGGGAGCGGGCGGAGCGGAGGAAGCAGGGGGCGCAGGGGAAGCAGGAGGAACAGAGGGAGCGGAGGGAGCAGGGCGAGAGGAAGAGCGGAGTGGAGTGAAGGGCGAAGGGTCTTCTGAGTGTGTGGCCGGGGAGGAGGGGGGCGCGGTGGAAGGGGGAGAGAGGGACGCGGAGGAAGAACTGCGGGGAGGGCTGCAGGAGGTGAGGACGGAGGAGCGGCAGGAGGAGCGGCAGGAGGAGCGGCAGGAGGAGCGGCAAGAGGAGCGGCAAGAGGAGCGGCAAGAGGAGCGGCAAGAGGATGCGGGTGCGGGCGGTTTGGTGAATGAAGGATGTGAGGAGGTGACGAGAGACGAGGGAGGCGCGGGGGATGAGGAGAGGACAGCAGGGGTGGGGGAGAAAGGTGATGGTGAGAGGCATGTGGGAGAGAGCATGCTACTAGGAGAACCAGTGGAGGGAGACATAGCAGGAAGGGAGACGGAGGGAGGATGCATTATGGAAGAGGGAGCGGGCGATGATGAAGAGAAGGGCGGATTGATGGGGAGTGAGGTTGAAAGGGATGAGAAGAGGGACGGCGAGAAGGAGTTGTCGGTTGCTGAGATAGTGGAAGTGGGAGGTGAGAAGGGGAGGGACGAGGGAGGTGAGGAGCGAGAGGAGGAGGGAAGGGATGGCACAGGGGAGAAGGGAGGGGAGGAGGGAAAGAAAGAGAGAGGGGAGGAGGGAAGGAAAGAGGGAGGGGAGGAGGGAGGGGAGGAGAGACGGGAAGAGGGAGAGAAGGAGGGAAGGAAAGAGGATGGAAAGGAGGGAGAAGAGGAGACATGGGAAGACGGAGGGGCTGAGGGCGCGGAGGAACAGGCAGAAGCGAAGGGGGAGGAGAGGAGGAAGAAGCTGCTGATACTGGATGTGAACGGACTGCTGGTGGACACGTGCTATGTGCGCGATGGCACTCCGGCAGGCCAGCGCCCACCAGACGGCCGCGCTAACAACTTCCATGGTGCGCGCACGCAAGGTCCCCTCAGACCAGCATCTGCTGCTCGCACTTGGTGCTTCCTCTGCCATCATCGCACACCGCACCCTGCCTGCCCTCTGCACCATGCACCTTGCATCATGCACCCGCAGCAGTGACAATTTGCTTCATGTTCTGGTTGTGCCCAACCAGCCGCCCACTTTCCACCATTGCGATTGGAATGGAGCCTTGATAATCTCTGTGCCAGTGCAAGTCCTGGCCTTCTCCATCCGCCCTCTCCTCTCCTTCCCCTCCCACTTCACCACCTCTCTCTTTCCCCTTCCCTCCTCCTTCCTTCCCCCCCTCTCTCTCCCACCTCTCGCCCCTCCTCGCATCCCCCCCCCCCCGTGCAGTGTACCGGCGGCCGTTCTGTGAGGAGTTCGCGCGCTTCTGCCTGGACAACTTTGTGGTCGCCGTGTGGTCCTCCTCTCGCATGTGCGCATGGGGACACACAGGGGGGGGGGGATGGGGGCAGGGGGGGGAAGGGCTGGGGGCAGGGGGGGGGGGCAGGGAGAGAGGGCAGGGGGCAGGGGGCTGTTGGCATGGGGCATGGGGCATGGGGCATGGGGCAGGAGGCATGGGTCCTGGGGCATGGGGCAGGGGGCATGGGGCATGGGTTGGGTCATGGGGACGGGGCATGGTTCGTGAGGCATGGCGCATGGGGCACCGTCCAACATGTGTTGAGATTAGCGAAGTGCAGAATCCATGAAACATATGTTTGGAGTGGAGGCCTCCCATGTGTTTGCCCGCCCTTGCACTTACGTTGTGTGCATGCATGTGACATGTCTGCATGGCTTCGCTGCCTGATGTATCAATCTGTCCCCTCTGCGCCCTCCTGTGCGGCCATGCGCCCTCCCCCTGTGCACGCACGCACGCACGCACGTCACGCCAATCATCCAGGTACAATGTGTGTGCGCTGCTGGAGTTTGTCTTCCCGAAGCAGCGCCAGGACGAGATCGCCTTCATCTGGGTATGCACCATGCACCATGCACCATGCACTATGCACTCTGCACCATGCACTATGCACTCTGCACCATGCACTATGCACTCTGCACCATGCACTATGCACTCTGCACCATGCACTATGCACTCTGCACCATGCACTATGCACTCTGCACCATGCACTATGCACTCTGCACCATGCACTATGCACTCTGCACCATGCACTATGCACTCTGCACCATGCACTATGCACTCTGCACCATGCACTATGCACTCTGCACCATGCACTATGCACTCTGCAAGCCCCGATGCCCCATGCGCATGCACCCTGCCACCAGGCTTCCATGTCTTCATGGTGCCATGTTGTCACACTGGGACATGCATCGTTTGCCTATCCTATGGTCTCTCTGTGCCACACACACGTTGCCATTTGAGGCATCCTACTGCCTGCTTCTTTGTGAGTTTGTGCCTGCCTGCCGCCACTGCTCATGCATCCCCCTCCGCTGCCCCACTTTCACTTCGTCCCTGCCTCTTGCTCCCATCGCCCAAACCACGCCACTTTTGCTGTGGAAGGAATTCCACGACGGCGTGCCGTGGACCACAACGGCACCTCTCACCCAACCACACCACTCACACCCTACCACACCATCACACATTCCATCGCACGCACCACACCACTCTGCTCTATGCCACACCACCAGGACCAAGCAAGGTGCACGAACATGGGTCTGAAGCACCCTGCCAACCGCCACAAGCCCATCTTCCTCAAGGAGCTGAGCCACGTGTGGGGCAACGTGCACCACGACATGCCCTGGCCTCAGGGCACCACACCTCACCCCTCACCTCACCCCTCACCTCACCCCTCACCTCACCCCTCACCTCACCCCTCACCTCACCCCTCACCTCACCCCTCACCTCACCCCTCACCTCACCCCTCACCTCACCCCTCACCTCACCCCTCACCTCACCCCTCACCTCACCCCTCACCTCACCCCTCACCTCATCTCACCGATTTCCCACCCCACCAGGACCAAGCGCGGTGCACGAACACAGGGTTGAAGCACCCTGCCAACCGCCACAAGCCCATCTTTCTCAAGGAGCTGAGCCACGTGTGGGGCAACGTGCACCACGACATGCCCTGGCCGCCCGGCACGTACGGCCCCTCCAACACACTGCTGCTCGATGACTCGCCCTACAAGGCCGTGCTTAACCCGGTCAGTGGTGGTGGAGCGCGGTGGAGAGGAGTGGTTGGTTGGATGGACGTGCTGTTTCGTCTTCGCCTGCTGATTTTCCCCAGCTCTTGCTTGCTTTGCACAGCTGCCCTCCTCTGCCGTCTCCCTTTCATTGCTTTCTTTTGTTCCCAGGAATTTACTGCTTTCACGGAGTAGTGTTTCGCAAGCCAACGATTTCTCCATCACCCTGTCCCCGCGTTGGAACTTCCAGTGATGAATTTGTGGTACTTTCCTGCTGCGTTGCTGCTGGTTCTTGCAGGAGCACACAGCCATCTTTCCCCAAACCTACCATCTCACTGACATTCTCGACAACGCACTCGGTACATTTCCTTCCATTTGTTTCGCTGGCCCCACTTCTCACCCCACCCTCGTCCTCCTTCCCTTCGCCATTTTGCGTTCCTCCCTCACTCGTATCCTCTCCTTCCTTTGTGCTCCACGCTCCTAGAATCTGGCTCGTCGTATTCGCACTTTCTAGCTCGCCTCTTACCGCCTCTATTTCCTTCCCCTCCTTCCCTCCTTCCATCCCCTCTCCCCCTCCCGTTCCCCCCTCCCCTCTTCCCTCCTTCCATCCTTCCCTTTCTTCCCTCCTTTCCCCCCCTCCCTCCCCCACTCCTCGCTTCCCTCCTTCACCTCCTTCCCTCCTCCCCTCATTCCCCTCCTTCCGTCCTTCTGTCCTTCCCGCATTCCCCTCCTTCCCCTCCGTTCCCTCCCTTTTCTTCATTCTTCTCATTCCCCTCACCATTCAACCCTCCCCTTCACCCCTGCTTCCCCATTCCCCCTCCCAGGACCCTCGGGGTCTCTGCGAGCATACCTCTCACAGCTGGCAGCAGCAGCAGACGTCCCCACATTCGTGCGCAGCAACCCCTTGGGTCTACCCCCCGTCAGAGTCTCCCACTTGCACGACCTGCTGCTCCTGCTCCGCCCTCCGTCCCCTCCTCCACATGCCTCTGCCACTCCTGCTCGAGGTGCTTCTGCCCCCTCCCATGCTGCTGCTGCTGCTGCTGCTGTGGGTGCTGTGGGTGCTTCTGGAAAAGGGGGCATTGGGTTCGGAGGGGGTGCAGTTGGGCAGAAGAGGAAAAAGAAGCAGAAGAAGAACAAGAAAAAGAAACAGAAGAAGCAGAGGGAAGCGTTGGGGCAGCAGGGGGGTGAGAAGGAAGGAGGAGAGGATCAAAGCATGCATGGCTCAAGTGCAGTGGAAGGGAGTGATGGGGGGGTGGTTGAGGAAACAGCCAGGCGGAAAGTAGAAGTGTCTGAAGGAGAAGAAGACGAAGAAGGAGGGGAGGAGGGCGAGGAGGAAGACGAGGAGGATGAGGAGGGGGCTGAGGAGGATGGGGAGGAGGAGGAAGAGGAAACTGGGGATGGCTCCAAGGGTGTTGAGAATGCTGCTGGGGCAGGAGCTGTGTCTGTGCCTGTCACTAATGGAGCTCCCACCCCTTCTTCTTCTGAGTGGGTTCCCACAGCGCCGGTTACCCACAGTCGCTGGGAGCAGAAGCAAGGCTCTTTTGCTGCTGCCTCTGCTCATGCTTCTGCTGCTGGTGGTGGCGGTATTGACTTTGCTGGTCGTGGTGGTGACCTCCCTACAGGGGCCATCTGTAGGGTTGCGAGTATGGCTGCTCCCGAGAACCAGCAGCAGCAGCAGCAGCAGCAGCAGCAGCAGCAGCAGCAGTGGCAACAGAAGCAGCAGCAGCACCAGTGGCCGCAGCAACACAGTGGTGAGTGGAGAGGGAGAGGCGGTGGGTGGGATAGCAAGCAAAGTAGGAGTGCTCAGGCTGCTTCGAGGAATGGTGAGACAAATGCCCCGTGGAATGCCTGGCAACAGCAGCAACAACAACAGCACCAGCAGCAATACCCTAATCAGCAGCCACAGCAGCAGCAGTATTCAAATCAGTCGCCACCACCGCAGCAATATCCTGTTCAGCAGCAGAACCTTCCTCCACCATATGCTACCGCTCCTAACACCTCACCCCCGCCATTCCTCTCTCATACACCCATGCCACAACCCCCACCGCAACCCCAGCAGGTCCCACCACACCAACCCCTAGGCCCGCCCCACCCCTTCCACGCGCAGCCGCCTTCCCTTCCCAACACCCCAACCTTCCCATTTACCCCATTTCAACCCAGGGCCCCCGTCGTGCCCTTCTCTCCTGGTCAGGGGTACGGGTATGGGTATGGGCAGGGAGGGTATGCGGGAGGGCCAGCAGGGTTAGCAGGTCCTGGTGGGGCCTTGCCTGTTCCCCCTGGTTCGGTTCCACAGGGCTCAAGTGGTTGGCAGGAGCAGGGGGGATATGCAGCGCCGGGGGCACAGCAAGGACAGGGACATGGGCAGGGGTGGGAGGGGGATATTGGCAAGGGCAGGGGGCTGGGAGTGCGGGTGGAGGATGGTTTGGAGGTGGGCGGAGGGAGGGAGGAGGAGGGGGTGAGGATCACTGGCCGCATCAGCAGAATGGCAGGTGGGACAGGAACAGGAGGGGCAAGTGGGGTTGATTGTGCTGTGTGACTTCAACTTGTCCCGTTCCTGCAGCTTACTGGTGGTACTTGTATGGTTTACTCTTGACCAGGGCTGCAAGTTTGATAGACGTTCTCTTGGTTAAAGCTTCTCCGTTCTCTTGGAGTAACCAGAATTCAGCTGTCAGCGTTAAAGTTTGACTGATGAAGGTTGGAATGACCCAACCCAAGGCCTGTCCACTAAAGAGGCAAATTGTGGCAGGAGAGGAGCGACATGGGGTACGTGAAGTACGTTCACCTCACCTCAGAGTTTGTGCTTTCTTTCCTGCTTGTCATTGAAATGCATCGTTTTCTAGCAACTTGACTCAAATCTTTCCAATAAATAACCTGTTTGTAGGTCTACCCCCTTTGCGTATCGAATCAATCGTGCGACACCTACTTGTAAAAACACCAACACCTGCAGCTCCTGCTGATTAATCCACAACCTGAACGAGCTCAAAGAGCCTCCCCTTAATAGCCTCCTCGAGCACTATCAAGGGAGTAATCTCCTTGCCTTCCAACACAGCCAGCAGCATGCTTGCTGAACCCCGATACCAGCGCCACGCCATCCTCACTTGCAAGCACCGGCGTGCTGCTCGCTTCCGAATCACCCCTCAGATTCCAGTACACTATCTGCGGCACAGGGTAACCCGCCGCAGTGTACTTACGCACGATCGCCTGGTGGTCCGTCTCCCAGTCGGTTCCACTGGCCCTGCCCGCCTGGTCAAACTGCATATCAGAGAACACATACAGGCGCTGCACCATGTCGGCCGGGTCCAACTGGAACTGCTGCGCGCGGGACAGCAGCAGGTCAAACACGGCCTGGAAATCCGTGTTGTAGCCCCAGTCCATGCCCTGCGTGCTTCTCACGCGCTCCACCAGCGTCTCTCCCTGCACGTGGTGGATCTCTGGCTCTGCGGAGAAGGTGATGAGGTGGTTCTTCCACGGGTCGCTGCTCACCTCGCTCACGAGCAGCGACAGTGCAATGGCCACCTCCATGGGTGTACCCGCCATGCTCCCCGACACATCGCACACTGCCATGCTGTTCCCCAGGGACCCCTTGCTGCGCACACCAGCCACCATGGCCTTCCACTGCAGCTCGCCCACTGTATCATCACTGTTGCCTTCTTCCGCTGATTCCATGGCTGCTTTCACCACTTCATGCGGCAGCACCGCTCCAGCAGCGATCTTGGCTGCGCCGCTCTTCACATCTTCCAGGTACTCTTTGAACCTCGCCTCATCGTGGGAGAGGAAGAGCTTGCGGGTCTTCTTCATGCACACGGACGGCACGCGCCCGTACGCCACGTGCTCCCACCGCCCGCTGCTCATGTGCACCTCGGGCAACTCCAGCACTCTCCGCAGCGGCGCCAGCACCTCCCTCTGCAGCCGCTCCTTCGCCACTCGCACGTACCCTCCCGCCCCGCCTGCTGCTGCTGCTGCGTCCACATCCATCTCGGAATCAGCAGCATCAGAGATAGTGCAGCAGCAGCAGCAGCAGCAGCAGAGGAGGATGGGTAGGAGGAAGAGGAAGAGGAGGAGGGGGGGAAGAGGAGGAGGGCGATGGAGGAGGTGAGCAGTGTGGAGTGATCAAATGAATTGCCAGGGGAGGGCGCCCACTTGGCTGCCAGAGAGAGCTTCGGCGCTGGCCTCCCCATCCACTTGCGCTTCTTCTTGCCCTTGCCACCACTCTTCTCCTCATCCCCGCTCTTCTTCTCTTCGTTTTCCTTCACCCCCTCTTCTGTCAACCCCTCCCCCTCTGCCTCCGTTTCCTCCTTCTCCTCCTCCTCCATCGCCTCCTCCCATGTCTTTTCATTCTTCTCCTCCTCCATCATCTCCTCTGCCTTCGCCCCTCCCCCCTCGGCGTTCTTCCGCGCGCGCCGCTCTTCGAATGCGCGCATCGTCTCCAGGTCCCCCTTCAGCGCAGCCGCGAAGATCGCCGCCACCGCGTTGTGCACGGCGCGCAGCCGCTCGCTCGTCTCGTACGCGTGCGCCACCGCCGCCGCCCTCCGCGCGAGCCTTTCCTTGCGCGAAATAGCCGCGCGCACGCTCTCCTCCACCATCTGCCGCCTGTTCTTCGCCACCCGTTTCTCCCGCAAAACGGCCGCGCGCGCGCTTTCCTCTTCCATCTGCCGCCTGTTCTCCTCCGCCTGTTCCTCCGAAATCTCCTGCTTTCCCTCGCCGCACATCATTGCTGCGCGCGCGCTCTCCTCCTCCATCTGCCACCTGTTCTCCGCCACCCGTCCCTCCGGACTCTCCTCCTTCTTCTCCTTCTTCCCCTTGCCGGCCATCATGTCTCTCCTGCTGCCTTCCCAGCTGCTCCTTTTCACCATATCGTTCCACGCCATGACATCGTTCTCATCCAAGTCTAGACATCCTTCCGCAACAAGTTCCGCGCGACTCTTCCTCTTCTCCCTGCCGCCACTCTTCTCCTTTTCCCTGCTGCCATTTTCCTCTTCCCAGCCGCCACTTTCCTCTTCCCAGCCGCCACTTTCCTCTTCCCAGCCGCCACTTTCCTCTTCCCAGCCGCCACTCTTCTTTCCCCTGCCGCCCCTGCTCCCTCCCCTGCCGCCCCTGCTCCCTTCCCCGCTGCTCTTTCTCCGCGTCTTCTTTCCCTCCTCCGAGGGTACCCCTTCTTCCGCCAGAGCGAGCCGCACGATTTCCAGAAGGTCCTTGAAGCACCCGAACTCGGGAACCAGCCACAGATTCTGCAAGAGCGTCCGCGGGTGGTGCTTATACAGCCACGTGACGCAGTGGAAGAAGCTGGAACGGTCGCTTTTGCCCGTGCCGCGCACCGCGCGCAGCTGCATCACGAGGCGCATCGCCGTGGCTGGGTCCTCCGCCCACGCAGCCTCGAGCCGCCGGTGCGCGTCGTCGCGCTCGGTCTGCGGCAGCACGTGGAAGAGGAAATCCACGCACGCGTCCCCCGACGACACGTACGTATCCGCGTGGTTCTCCGTGAGGCCCCGCTCCGGCTCGCTTGCGACGGGCTCCGTTTTCATGTCGTCGGTGGCATTGTTGTCGGCGATCTTGGAACGCGTCGCGTGCTCAGACGGCGGAGTTTGAACCTCTGGTAGTTTTTTGGAAGGGTCATCCTCGTTGACTGGACGACGCGCACGCAACTCCTGAAGAAAAGGAAGGGACGACGCAGGGCACTGTAGCACGTGGCTCGTGTCTACTGGAAGTGGGCCTGGGAGAAAGGTGGCGGCGTCACCCCCCATGGCTTATATCCGAGGGACTGGAAAATGATGAAAATTTTGCCAAGTGAAGATCAGGCAAGTAAAGAGCCTCGGAGGGATCTAGTCTAGAGGCTCCCTGGTTCGAAAATGCGCAGCATTCCGGGCTGTTCCGAACAGCCCACCTCGTAACAGGCGACCGTCAAACGACTCCCTGCGACCCCCAGCCCTAACCCATTTTTCGGGGTTTGGGGCCCTCCAACATTCTTGGGGATTCTGTTCGGAGCAGCTTGTTACGAGCCCGGAATGCTCTATCATATAATGCCGTAGAATTCACTTTCGGGAATGGAGATGCCGCGTCGCGATGGTCCGACTGATGAAAGGGGATGAGTGCTCAGCAAGGAAGGGGCCAACATCATAGACATGCAAATTAGTGTGGTAACCCTATCCAATGGTATGCAAAACCGTCTTACCTCTGTTTGCAAGTTATTGACAGGCTGCCCTGAAAGCGCGTTCGTTTTTAATTCAAATTTGATCTTTACCGCGCTTGCCTTCGCGCTAAGACGTGATTTCTTCGGGCCAAGAAAAAAATAAAACCCGATCGGAAAGGGATGCGTCAGGGAGGCATCAACCCTAAAAACAATGTCCTTTCCCGTGTTTAGGGTTGATCCCTCCCAGAAATGCGTCCAGGTCCCTAGGGGTTTTATTGTTTTTCTGCCCTGCCCCTACATTTCCCGGTAGCAATATATTGGTCCAAATTAATGTTATCGAAATGGACCCCGTTGCCTTTGATTCCAGTGGATTTTTCGTCACATTTAGCGGAAAATAGTAGCCGGCAGGAATATTTGTTAGGCGCCGAACAAGACGCGGTAAGAACCACGACGATACGAAATCGAAAACGCAACTGATTCAATCACATATTTTCTTCCTTTTCTGTGCTGCGTCAGCTGTTACACAGTGTTTTGAGTGGCGCTACCAGACAATTTTGCGCAGCAGAACTGGGGTATCGACGGTTTTGCATACCATCGAATAGGGTTACCAGACTAATTTGCATGTCTATGATGTTGGCCCGCAAGGAAGGCTTGGTCACTGTAATGTGATTGGTCCGCACGATGATTGACCAAACGCAACCAGGTTTGGACGATTACTGACAGCTCAGAGATTCCCCGAGGCGAGGTTGCTTGAAGGTCAGGTTTGGTTCGGTCTGTACGCGTTACACCCTCGAAATCCTTGGCAGAGACGTCGCGGGCACGCTTTGCTGCCCCTCCCTGTTCGCACAATCATACACAAGGGGGGTATGGGAGTAGAAGTGATTGAGTGTACAAGTCTAACATGTATCATACCTGTATGTTATGAAATATATTTGTCTCGTAGAAACTGCAGTAGGTATGTAGGACTTTGATGTGGCATTTGTCTTACATAGTGAAATTTAGATGGGAATTGCAATGCAATTTATGCAGGTGATAAGCACATGGCAATCTTTATTTATATTCAGTAACCCATTGGTATAAGCTATGATTCTAACGAAAATATACTATATAACGCAAATATGTGATAAAATATAGAAGGTTTTCCTATGATGAAACGCTGGATTAATGTAAGTGTCACAAGAAATGTAAGTAGGTTTCTCAAGGATATAACAAACAAAAGAATAATGTAATAGTCTTCTCACAAAAATCGCCTGCGATGTACGGTACCTCGAGGCACCGAACTGGATCCGCTGCAATGCTCATCCGCTTCAGCACCACCCACCGACACTCTGATCCAAATTCCAGCAGCGCTGCTCCCACTGACACCCGCACCTCCCTCCAGCCAGATCTGCCACCACCAGCCAGCAAGTCATTCCTTAATCCTATTTTCGCCACTAATATCCGCCGCGGCTCGGCCCGCCGCGAAAATTACCCCTTCGAGCCACCTCCTTTCGCGCTCTTTCAACCCTCACGGCAGCGTAGTGACCCCCCAAGGAATATCTGAGCTTAGTTGGCAGCGTTTGGGGTCGATAGGCAACCCACGTCACTCACTTCGGCCCCCTGGGTTGATTTCGACCGGCCATGTGGCTTAGTCGCTGCTGACTCGGACGATCGCATTCGACGAAAAAATTCGTCGCAACGGCTTCCTATGCACCCCCGGAGGGGCCCAAGTTGGGCATGCGAACGCAACTCTCGCTTGCGCATTGCCACGCTCCCACCCAAACTGCTGCCTCCACCTCTCCCTCCGCATTTCGCACCTCCCTTTCTCCTTTTCGCTCCTAGCTTTTGCCCGTTCTCGTTCAACTCGGCTAGTTTACGCGGCTGATTCAGTGTGGCTAGTCTACGACTCCCGTTCTCCGTTCGGTTCACTCGTGCACGTTTCCAGTTGCTCGTCGGCTCCTGTTCTGCATTCTCGTCACACGAAATTGGCCTTCGCCGAAGCCTTTTCAGAAGCCTTTTCAGCGGCGCTTCACGACATTTGCTATTCGTCGTCAGATTAGGCACGCGGAAGCCGATTCAATCCATCGATCGCGGGCGTGTTGACGATTTTCCGTCATTCGACGTCGTTGCTGCTGAAATTCCGCGCGAGGCTGTACGTTCAATCGGTCGCCGACGTCGCGTGACGTCACGTTGTCAATTCGTCGCCTCCACGTCGCGTCGCGACTTTAACCTGATCCGTACGTTTTTTCTCGATTTTTTCTCGCGGATGCCAATTTTCCTGATCGTTTTGTATGTTGTGCATCTTGATTGTCGCAAATATGCGGTAGCATCAATTACTGATCCAGCGAATGACATTACTGATCTCGTTCTCCGTTTCCCGTTTCAGGTCAAGCATGAAGCAATTTTCGAGAATCATGGTCATTATTCAAATCGCACTCGCCATCCTTCCGCGCGGCTCCACTGCCGCTGCTCTCCGCTCGCCACGCGTCGTCCATCCGCCCACCCACGGCCATGCAGCAACCACCCCCTTCGCCTGCTCCCTCTATCGCCATTCCGTGGTAAGCCGTCAGCCCTTTCGTTACATCAGTTCATTTCTCCGCAATCGCACGCGTTTCGTTCATGATCCGTCCTTCAAACGTTGCCGAAGCACTGCATTGTTGCATGGAGCGTGCTTGTGAATGCTCTCTGTGTTTGCGTGCAGGAAGCAGCAGGCGGGTGGAAGGCAAGGCAGCAGTGGGTGGCACGTGGGCAAGGCAGCGAGGCAGAAGAGAGCACGTGGCGTTCACTCGCATCGCATCGCAAGCAACACCGCTGGACGTCCCACCCCATTCGCCATTCCACTCGCCATCCACCTGCCTCTCCCCCTGCGCGCAGATAAGTACCCTCGCCTCTCCTCCCTTCTTCCTCGCTCCATTGCTCATTCATTGCACACGCCACGCCACTCAATGCCAGCCCAAGGCGAACCTGCAGACCTCCCTGTCTCTTCCCCTAGCTCGGAGAGGGAGCGTTGGAGAGGGAGTTTTGGGGAGGGAGCGTTGGAGAGGGAGTTTTGGGGAGGGAGCGTTGGAGAGGGAGTTTTGGGGAGGGAGCGTTGGAGAGGGAGTTTTGGGGAGGGAGCGTTGGAGAGGGAGTTTTGGGGAGGGAGCGTTGGAGAGGGAGTTTTGGGGAGGGAGCGTTGGAGAGGGAGTTTTGGGGAGGGAGCGTTGGAGAGGGAGTTTTGGGGAGGGAGCGTTGGAGAGGGAGTTTTGGGGAGGGAGCGTTGGAGAGGGAGTTTTGGTCTTGCTTAGGCGTCATGCTTAGCTGTCCGTCTGCCTGCCTGCGTCCGTCCGTCTGTCTGCCTGCGTCCGTCCGTCTGTCCTGCTTAGCTGTCCGCGTGCGTCTTGAGGTCTGCAGCGTGATTGCCCTGCCTGGCTGTGCACTCATGCTCATGTTTCGTGCTCATGCTCACATCATACCCACTTCACGCACGCATCACTGGCATTACCAATTGCAACTCTCACTCTCCCACCCACCTACTGTTCCTGGACTTGAACTCATTTCTACTCATTGCCCCCCCGCTCCTTCTACTCCCTCCCTTGCCTGCCCCGCCAGGCGAGCAGCAGGCGAGGGGAGTGCAGCAGGCGAGGGGAGGAGAGGGGGAGGCAAGAGGGACGCCAAGGCAGGCAGCAGGAGGGCGGGCAGCAGGGCAGCAGCGCCGGCCTCGTCAATGGTCGAGGTTGCAAGTATCACCCCGCCACCACACCCCACCAGAGCCCCAATTCCCCTCAGGTTCAGGTTCAGGTGCAGGTTCAGGTGCAGGTTCAGGTGCAGGTTTAGGTGCAGGTGCAGGTTGGTAGGGGCTCTTGTGGGGCTGTGGGCGGCATCACATGCACCGTCGTTTCTGCACTCGCTCTGCTGCCAGACTCTCTTCTCACTTGCAACAGCCACTCCCTCCCGCATGCCACTTACTTGGTCTCTCTCCCTCCCCCCTGCCCTGCCTCGCAGGTCCTTCCCTTCAACCCTCCTCGCTGGCTCGCACCTCCTCCGCTCGCCCCTGCCCACTCTCCTTCACCGCACCCCCCACGCCACCACTACCACTGCTCCAACTCCCAGCTAAGTGCTTCGCCTCCTTGATCCTTGCCTACTGTTCTGCTTCTCGTTTATTCTTCCAGTTTGTTTGTTTCCAAAACTCGCCGCTGGTTGGGGCTCGACTCGCAAGCCACAGACCTCAATTCAGGTTCAGGTTCAGGTTCAGGTTCAGCCCCCCTACAGCCTTACAGCCCCTCAGGTCCCCTTGGGGGTCTGTGCCTTGCAGTTGTGTCTCAACCAGTGGCCCCTCCTTTCTCAATTTCCTTGCAATTTTGCTGCTGCTCTTGCTGTTTCACATGTCATGCCGTCACTGCCTACTCACCAGCTCTGCGTGTGTGCCTTGCAGGTGGGGGGGAGGGGTGTGGGGTCAGCACCGCCATTCCCTCACGCCTCTCCCCGGTGGCCGTGCAGGGAGGGACGCACACGGGAAGGCTGGGAGGAGGGCTGCCGGGGAAGGAGGCGCCTGGTGGTGCTGCAGCTGCCCTCTGCTCGCTCTCACGCCTTACAGCTAAGTTCCCTCAACCCCTTGCCCGCCTCGCCATGTCTTGTGTGCTTTGCTTGCATCTCGTTTTCTCATGCTCTTTCGCACCTTCCTCTTGAAACAGTGCCACTGGTTGGGCCCGCCTCACATGCTGCAGACCCCCTTACTTCAGGTAACCCTCTCAGGTGCAGGTACCCCTCAGGTGCAGGTGTGCAGGTACCCCCTCAGGTGCAGCCCTTGGGTCTGCAGTTCGTGATTTGGCCTCCACCAGTGGCCCCTCCCCTCTCCCGCCTTGCAAATGCCGTTCCCTCTCTTGCACTTTCACCATTCATCCCCTCGCTGCCCACTGACCAGCTCTG